AAATCTAATGTTATTTAAATTGGAAATATATAACTTATGTTTTAGGATATGGAAATATTTTAGTAAAAATGTAATCAGGCAAGTTGAAATTCGCTTAGTCTGCAGGTTTGCTGCGGCGGGGGTATTGTCTATGATAATACCATCCCAAAAAAGGAGACCCGAATGATGTAAAAATTACTGCCCAATCACTACCCTATCCGCTGTTGGAAAAATATTTGAAAACATTGTTACTGATAGACTTAGATACCATTTTTCAGGAATCATTCATCCAGTGCTCAATTTGTAAAAAATGAGGTGCTGGGGCTGGGACTGTAACCTATTTAATGTGATTAGAACCTATTTATGTATAGGCTACTAAACCTATTCATGCCAATATTTGTTTTATCTTTCTGAAAGAGAGGTAAAGGAACTCCATTCCACCGCATTCCCCCCAAATCGAGCACTGCATTCATCCTGCTCAGCATGATTTCGTACCTGGGAAGTCAACAGTCTCCAGCTTGCTACTGTTTCAAGAATCTGTACACTCTGCCTTCCGCTACGATAATCAAATTGATATGACCTAAATAGACATAGCCAAAACATTGAAATGAAATGAAAAATTCTTTATTTAACCAGGCGAAAGTAAGGGGCCACATGGCCCTCTCTTACACTTCCTGACAAACTTAAATAAGTATTTGAAAAAATTTATCATAACATCTTAGTGTCCAAATTAAGAGTGTACAGAATTACGGACCCCCTGTTTTCCTGGATTACTTGTCCAATTGCTCCCTGGTAGTCAAAATTGGCAACAAAATTTGGACAATTTGCTCAATCTTCTGGCGTCCCTCAGGGCTCCATATTAGGCCCATGGCTACTTAACATCTTCATTAATGATCTGGTAGACGCTGTGGAAACCAATGCTCTACTGTTTCCCGATGATGAGATATGGTCACGGGGGAGAGGATGTTGTTGTGGAATTTTTATTATGTGTTAAATATCAACGATAACTTTGCAGTTCCAAATTATTTCACAGGGAGGTTGTTTGTGGGGGATAGCAAACAAGTCCGAACATGTTAGAGTCCCAATGAGTGGTTGGTGCTCTAATTATTGAAATTCACTGAGTCATTAACTCCAAAACTTCCTTTAGCTCAATAATTATAGCAATAAAGTTAAAGCCTTAGGAGTTAGGTGGAGGTTATATCTTTAATTATCTTAGATCCCATTCGGGGGTGTGGGTTGACATCATTGGTAGGAAGAACACACCACGCTGGTGTTGTGATGAAAAAAGAAAAGATATTACACATACAACTAACACACATACACATATTAGAAATGATATTTTTATTGCCACTTGTTTCATTTCCACTAGAGTGAGGGGGGTTAAAATATTAGGGATTAACATATACGGGTACTGTATTTCAAAATGGTTGTAATTTAAAAATTACCGTTTCAGACAATCAAACCAACAAAAATTCAAAATAACTAGAACATCTAGAAAAAGTTAAACATCAATTTTCTAAAGGAGGGATTTTGTAGGGGGAGGGCTTAAGATGGGATTGGTCTCTATTTAACTTTTTTTATCATATACGAACATGACCAACTTATGTTTACCAAGACCTTAATATGCTTGAAACAGCATTTTATTCTCCGAACGCTTATTCACCATAAGATTAACCCTTTGCGGTCGAATACTTGATACTTGATACTTGATACTTGTGTGCTGCGTCGTTGACCGACAATGTCGGATAGACTGCGTTATTATATACATTTAAAAATAAACACTACTATTTACATACATATACAAAACAACTTAAACAGGCTGTGGCGGTAAATAAAACGTTTTCCCCATTTGTAATGAAGGCTTTTATGTGACTTTTAGGGGTTCTTTACTCAGCTCCTCCAGTGAGTACAGTGGCCTATCCACCAAGCTACCTCTGATGGCAGCTTTGAAGGAGGTGATTTCCATATCCCGCACCTTATCCGGCAAGGTATTAAAAAGCTGTATGGCATAGCGGGGATAGCTCTTGAGGGTGCGGGTGAGACGACAACGCGGCATGTCAAGGTGTAGTGCTTGCCGGGTGTCATAGCGGTGGTGAACTTCTCTTCGGTCAAACAGATGGACATTCTCTTTCAGGAGTATTAGGATGTTCAATACATATTGACTGAAGACTGTAAGAATGCCCAGATCTTTAAAAAGGGGCCTACAATGTTCGTTGTAGTCGGCTGACATTATGATTCTTACAGCTTTTTTCTGGAGCAATAGTATGTCCTGTGCTGCTGGTGAATGACCCCAAAGTACCAAGCCGTACATAAGATGGCTATGAAACAGAGCATGGTACACAGTTATCAAGAATTGCTTCGGGATGATGTTCCGAAGTTTCCTTAGGAGGCAAATAACCCTAGATAGCCGTGCGCATACCCTATCAATATGTGAGCTCGAGCTTAGTTTGGGATCCAACCAGAAACCTAGAAGTTTAACCGCCTCATCTCTTTCGGTTAGTGGCTTCAGTGTGCAGAGCAAGGACTGAGTCTTAGCTGCATTTAATTTCAGGCGTTTTGCTGTAAACCAGTTCTTGGCCAGCTCCAAAAGATGGTCAGCTTCAATATGCAGTTGCTCAATGTCGCTTCCTCTAGATATCAGAGTGGTGTCGTCAGCGAATAGGAGGGTGGTGCCATTTAGCCTCAAATCGTTCACCGCTACACTAAAAAGGAGAGGGCCGAGCACCGAGCCCTGTGGCACTCCATGTGAGATACTCCTAACGCAGGAGAAGGCCCCATTTATCACAACTACTTGCCTGCGATTTGCCAAATAACAGGACAGGGACTTCAGCACAGTTCCGCCCACACCATACTTTGCTAGTTTGCCTATCAGTAGCTTATGGGACACCACATCAAACGCCTTGCTCAGATCGCAAAGTCTGAGGAGGATTGACTCATTATGTTCAAAGGCGTCAGTAATTGTCTCAACAAGACTCAACAGTGCGGTGGTTGTAGATCTACCCCCTCTAAATCCATGCTGTGCACTCGAGAGAATGTTGTTTGTCTCAAGATAGGCCATGAGTTGTCTTTTCATGACCGTCTCCAGCACCTTAGAGAAGACTGGGAGTATAGAAATAGGACGAAAGTTTGATAACAACGATGGGTCTCCCTTCTTAAATATAGGTATAGTTTTTGCTACCTTTAGGGAGTCAGGAAAACCCCACACTTAAGACAAAGATTTACCAGCCGAGTCAGAGGCTTTAGTATAAACTCAATTGTGCTCTTTAAGATGGAGCAAGAGACACCGTTTACATCTTGGCTGTTTGAATCCTTAAAACCCCTAACTATGCTAAGAATCTGACTGTCACTCACCTCTTTCCAGTGTGTAAGGTTGTGTATGTGTGAGATGTCTGCTATAGTGTCCAGTGGGTCCATGTGCTGTAACAGAGGCATACTTTTAATTATGTCATCAGCTACTTTTGCAAAATAGTCGTTAAAATCATCCGGCGTAGCCACAATGGGGGGGATGGCGTTAGATTTCCTATGCTCATTTACAATTCCCCAAGCAGCCTTACAGGTGTTTGAGGACCTCATGATGAAGCTAGCGTTATAATCTTTCCTTGCTCTTTTAACTTTAGAACTGTAGTCCTTCTTAATGTTACAGTAAAGATGGAGGAGACGAGTTTTTTGATCTTCATCAGGAGAACTTTTGAAGCGATCATGTACTAAGATCATAAGTTGACGGATTTTGGCTAATTCCGGAATGGCGATTATAGGTCGCCGGGCACCATTTTCCCGACTGCTCGAATGGTAAACTATACTCGCTGAAAAATGGGGAAAAAATTTGACCTCTAAGGGTTAAAGGGTTGATATTTTTAACTCATGGAGGGGGTTTAATTGGGAAAATGGCGATTCGTAAACTCTTTAAGGTACTGAAGATCACCATCCCTCTACAAGATTTCAAATTTCTAGCTCTAATGTTTATGGGTATATCCCCAAATCCCAAAGATACAACAATCAAAATGGGGTTTTATGAAGGGGGTTGGAGTCAAGATAGGTGAAAGACGTAATAGAACAAAATGTGCACTTTAAAAAGTAGTAGGGCCTGTACAAAACATTTCTATAATGTCATATAGTCTTACGTTTATGTACTTTTAAATAAGGGAATATTCAAAAATAGGACTTTTGATTTTATTTTAAATCATCCCCCCACTTTTGAAACAGGACAAATTTCAAGTTTAAGCCTAAATTTGGGGGATGGGGAAAAATGTTAAATTACAAAGTTGTAGATCATTAAAAGTAGTGACTGTAAGTCCTCTCTTTTTTTCGATCAGACGGACGGTCAAGCTGTGACAGACGTTTAAACAAAGAAATTCTAGGGAAAAATCGCAACATTTGAAGTTTAGAGCGATATATAAGGGAGAAGGAATTGAGATAGGAAAAAACTTTATAATACAAAGTTTTAGCCCGTCTAAATGTAATCGCGGAAAGTGCTCTGCATTCTCGATTAGACCAGGGGTTAAGCCGCAATAGGTGTTTTGAAAGTCACCTTTTTTATAATTAAAAAAAATCCCCCATTAGCCTATATACATTTTTTTAGGAGTTGGAGATTTGAAAATGTCACTTTTGGAAATTTTCCTGGTGATTTGAGACCAAGACCTAGAATGGTCCCCAGTTTCAACCCCGTGTAGCTATTCTAAAAAGTAATTTTTAGAACTAAAAATACTGTAGGCCTACGTTAAAATACCAAGAAAATTTACAAATTTTAGAAGTAGGATGATTTTTGAAAGTGAAGCTGTGAGATTTTCTTCCTGACCATGAAGATTCAAATCTTTGCTAGCTCTTGCCGTTTATCAGTTATAGCAATTTTCGTGGTGGTTTAGGACCGATACCTACCTATAATTGTCAACAATTTCAGATTTCTAGCTAACCAATAAGTGGGTAAACATTTGTATAGGTACTTTACCAGTTACACATCCAGCTTAGTTGTATATACATAAGAGTTGCCGTTATAACTCAAATGAAACAAACTCTTGTTATAGGTACCGAGACAGAACAGGCAGTAGAGGTATGGGCCGAGGTGGCTTCAGAGACAGGGGAAGGGGTAGCCCAAGAGGTGGTCGTGGAGGAACATTTGGCAACAATTCCTTCAAGAATAAGCAGCCAGGCAGTCAGCTCCGAGCTCCTCGGTGGGACAACTTACCATCCTTCCGCAAGGATTTCTACACACCTCATAGTAACGTCACTAACAGGTAGGCTCATCACACTTAATTAAATTATATAAATATTTTTGTGTCAACTTAGCCACAGCTTTGAATCAATTACAGTACCTTTTATCTTTACATTATTTGAATATTTATTATGTAACAGCTTTTGCTGGATTGTTAAGAGTTTTCTTTTGATAAGTCAAAATTTACCAGAGTTAAAGATTTGCATGTAAATAAAATGTTCTCTAAATATTTGTTCATATAATCGTGCAATTATTCATACCAGAATCGTTGCGTTGCTGAACATTGGTGGAGAGTTTATTTTGTTTCCCTCGTAGGTTCGCCAATTGAGCTTTCATTTTATACTAGCGACATTGATAATATCGAGGAAGGAATGTAGTTGTTGTCGTTGTTTGGGGTAACCAATCTATAGTGATGTTTAATCTGTATGAAATAATTGCACCACTATATGAACATATTTTGAACATTTTATTTAGGCCTACTAACAAATCTTAAACTCCGGTAAATTATGACATAAATAAAACTAAACATTTTAACAATCCAGCAACAGCTGTTACATAATAAAAACAAAGTAAAGATCAAAGGCAGCTGATTCACAGCTGTGACTAAATTGTCGTCACAATATTTTAAGCTTTTAAGATTACAGAAAAATATACTGTAATGTGTTTTACTGCAAGAAATAATAACACTGGGTTTGAAGTGACTTTGCACACTCTAACTCAGGGTTTTTTTTTTATTTGGGCAATTGATTAATTTTGTTGTATACCCTTTTCAGATCATTTAATGATGTGATGTCTTTCCGATCACGCAATGAGATGACCATCAAGGGCAACAGTGTTCCTTATCCTATTGAGCATTTTGAAGAAGGAAATTTTCCTCCTTATGTGATGGATAGTATAAGGTGGGCCTGCATAACATTGAGTTAAATGTGTTTTTTTTTTCAATATATATTATATATTTACAGACAATTTGAAACATTATTTTACTTTTTAGCTCTCCAAGTAACATAATTATTTAGTTTTTGACATGAAAAAGTTTTTTAGGTACCGGTACCTGATCTTGGTTGAGCTAGAAACACATTGAGCAAACCTTAGGAACCTTGTAAAAAATTAGGATGAACATAAAGTTTTAAATCTAATATATAAAATTCTCGTGTCACAGTGTTTGTCTGCAAACTCCTCCGGAACGACTTCACCGATCGTTATGAAATTTGGTGTGTAAATTCTGTAGGTATGCGAATCGGACGTAAACTATTTCCCGTTTCGAAATTCTTAAACGGCTCCGCCCCAGTGGCTCTGGAGTTTCCCATGTTAACCTTATGAGAAATGGAATTAATGAATCTTAACAGCTGTCTCAATTAAACAAGTTGGTTCTGTTCTATGATGTTCAATAGCATTAAAGTTACAAGGATTACCAACAGGGTGCAGCACTATTATTTCTTTTACATTTATGACAACAGCTAATTTGCAACCAAAAGGTGAGTGAGCGTAGCGAACGAACTTCAACCTGGAGGCGAGTGAGCGTAGCGAACGAGCTAACCTGAAGGCAAGTGAGCGCAGCGAACGAGCTCCAACCTAAAGGTGAGTGAGCGTAGCAAACGAGCTCCAACCCAAAGGTGAGTGAGCGTAGCGAACGAGCTCCAACCCAAAGGTGAGTGAGCGTAGCGAACTAACTTCAACCAGGACGTGATTGAGCGATGCGAACGAGATCATCTTGAAAATTAAACGTAACGGTACTTTCTTTACATCGGTCTGTCTTAGGGGAAACCTATAACTTAGGCGATACGAAGTTCGCCGGGTCAGCTAGTATCTTATATATATTTTATTTATTTACTTAGCTTCAAGGTTAAGGCAACTTTCCAACATCTACACAGTACTCCTGAAACAATTCCTGAAACAATGGTTTACACCTGAACTTGCAAAGATAAGGGAGTTTTTGACAATTTTTCACAACAGATTAATGGTAGAAGGTGATATAAATAGAAATAGAGAGTTTTATGTTAGGTGCAAAAAAATGTACAAAAGCAAAATCAAAGAGGCAAAGCTGAAGTTTAATGACCATAAACTCAATACTTGTGATAACAAAAGTAAGGAGGCCTGGAATATTATAAAGTCTGAATCTGGTAGTTTTAATAAAAAATAAATCCAACCCTATTATAGATGTTGACAACTTCAATGACTTTTTTGTCAATGTAGCAAATTTTGATGGTTCAAACAACAATGCACTCTGCAACTCAAATAGGCCTAGTTCTTTTGATTTACTTAATAATCATCCAAAGCAATGTTATACTGAAAATCTTAACTTCATGTGGGAGCATGTATTTCCACAAGATATAGACTTAATCATCAATAATCTGAAAAACTCCACCAGCAAGGATTGTTATGGTTTAACAACAAACATTGTAAAAAAACTCAAGTATGCTCTTGTTCCTCCTCTGACATTCATTATCAATTTAGTTTTACAAAATGGTGTTTTTCCAAATAATCTTAAGCTTACAAAAGTTGTGCCTATTCACAAGAAAGGCGACACTTCATGTCCATCAAATTACAGACCGATTGCGCTTGTCCCGGTATTTGCTAAGGTTATTGAGTGTTGTATTTATAACCAAATAAGTGCCTTTTTTAGTAATCATAATTTTCTAAGCAACTCCCAGTTTGGCTTCAGAGCCGGTTTATCAACTATCGATGCTTGTAAGTCAGTTGTTGATGACATTCTGAATGCTTTTGAATCACACACCTTTTTAGAGTTAACTTTAGTAGATTTAAGTAAAGCATTTGATTGTGTTTCTCATAGCCTGTTGATTGATAAGTTAAGTTACTATGGTGTAAAAGATAAAACTTTAGATCTATTTAAATCATATTTAGGAAATAGATATCAGATGGTATCAGCCAACAATAAAACCTCTCAGTGGAAAGAAGTCACAGCAGGAGTACCCCAGGGTTCTGTACTTGGCCCTTTTTTGTTTTTAATTGCAATAAATGATCTTCCATCTAATCTTCCTTCAAAATCAGTACTGTATGCAGATGACACCTCCTTAATAGTCTCAAGCAAATCTTTGCAAGAGGTAAAAATTAAAACTGAGGAGATGAAAATAGCAGCCGATAGTTGGTTTAAGGCAAATAAATTTTCAGTAAACAATGACAAAACTGTTTCAATTATTTTTTCACAGACAAATCTTGTATCTGAAGTATCAAATGCTAAACTGCTAGGAATCATATTAGACTGTAAGTTATCTTGGCGTAGTCATACTGAAATGGTTGTTGCAAGGTTAAGTAACTCTTTGTTTCTGCTCAGGAGGTTGAAAAATCATGTTAGTTTAAGTATGTTAATTAATGTTTATTATGCATTCTTTCATTGTCACTTAGTTTATGGGGTAATTTTGTGGGGCAGTAGTAGCGGGGCAGTTAACGTTTTTAAAAAACAGAAAAAAGCAATCCGTATCCTAGCTGGCATAAAAAGTAGAGTTAGTTGTAAGACCTTTTTTCCTGAATACAAAATTCTCACTTTACCAAGTGTGTACATTTTGCAGAATATCATTTTTGTAAAAACAAATATTGAACAATTCTCATCTCGCTCATTAACTCACAATCATTACACCAGACTAAGGAATAATTTAGAGTTACCATCCTTAAGACTGGCCTCAACACAGCGCAGCTATAAATATTTACAACTTAAACTTTTCAATGCCCTCCCTGAAAATGTACGCAACTTGCCTATTAAGTCACTGAAAAATGTATTGACCGATTTTTTGAACAGAAAGGTTATCTACTCTATCGAGGAATTTTTATCTTTCAAACATGATGATTTTCTGTAAAATTCTAATTGTTAAGTAGGGTATTGTTTCTAAAGTATGTAATAATGGTTTCATGAACTGTGATATAATAGTCTTTCATAATAATGTTATTTCTGTGAACTTTATTTAAAAATTTATTGTTATTTAGTTTTAAGCTGTATCTCTCTGCCAATTTTAGCCTTGTAATTATTTTGTTATAGGCACTTACCCAACTTGTTTGCTTAACTATAAACAGTATTATTATCATCATTATCAATACATCTCAAATACTTTTGTACAAAAACCCAGTATTATTAGTTTATTAGTATAGCATGTTCATCTATTTACACTTGACTCTGTACATTGTACTTTGAATTGTATATTATCTCCATTGACCTGGCCTATTGTATGACATGTATACTTAATGGCAATTAACTATTTGAATTTGAATTTGAATTTGAATTCAATCCTGAACAGTTTAGACCTATATTTTTGACAGGATTGTGTTTTCTTACCGACATAATTGTGATCTCTTACTTTCCAAGCCAGCAGTTTAGCAGACATGTTTAGCTGAGCAGCCACCTCAGTAGAAAAGTAAATTAGGTACTTGTAACCAGAAATATTTCTCAAAAGTTTCACAGAAGTTATAGTACTTACCAATTAACCTTATGGTACGTATCTTGTAATAAAATGATTTTAAATTTAAGGTATATTTTGTTAATGATGAATATAATATATAACTAAGGGATCAAATGTTAAAAGTATAAAAATTAATAGGCCATGTAATTTTTTTCTCATTTATTGATAGCCTAGATGTATTCCACAAACTATGCTTCTTTCTGGACCTGATTTCCGGGGTTTATGCAGCATTTATGCAATGTACTCTATTGTATTATCACTATATAGGCCTAGTTAGTAATCATTTTTGTTAATTCATAAATCAATAGTTATAGGGTAACTATGTTTTTAAGTTGATTGAAATGAAATTGCAATTGCTGTGTAGGAGACAAGGATTTTCCACCCCCACTCCTATCCAGGCACAAGGCTGGCCTATAGCCCTCAGCGGCAGTGATATGGTGGGGATAGCCAAGACTGGCTCTGGGAAAACTTTGGCGGTGAGTACCTACATTAGTCTCATATCACTCAAACTGATTACAATAGTTTAGTGTTTATTGTGACACTAAGTGGCTAACCATAGCCTTCTCTAGTAGGTACACAAGGCTGCGGCGAACGAAAACTGGCAACGTCGCATTTGTGTCTTGGCGCGCGATCGTCTTACCATTATAGTGAATGGAGGAGTCGCGTACCGACTTACTTATTCGCGCTTCTACTACCTATATCTTTGTATACTCAGCTCATATAATTTATATTATAGACTGTTAGGTTGACCGTAGAAGAACATATTTTGTGTTTGTATTGTAGCAAATTATGAAGAGTTATTGTTTCTTGAAATCTAGTTTGAAATTTAGGTCAAGCCTATCATATAACTTATGACTGTTTCTGTAGCTTTAAGAATTAATTATAATTTTTAAAGAATTAAATAATTGTGAATTAGTTAGGCCCGGTTTCCCCAAAATGGTGTAAACTACGTTTATAATAAACTAGTTTATTTTTAAACTCCGTTTAAAATGTGTGTTCGGTTTCTCCAACATTTTTCTGGCTTCGTTTAAGATAAACGGCAATTCGAGCGGTTGGCAATCCTGAATGTGTATTTGTAAGGAATTTTCGGTGGGCTTTGGGCTAGTGTTTCCTACGACCACCACAACGCTGCGCTACAACTCAGTAGAACAGGAAAGTGCGAATGCAGCTAGAATAGCATCGTTTAAGGTTATGTTATCAAATCAAGTTATTATAAGTTGTTGTCAAATTCAGATTCATTCCATTTATTGAAATGGTCAATTCTGTCCCTTATTTTAGTAGGCCCTCTTGTTCTAGGTACTAAAGTGTCATAATCTTCATCTTCGAAAATGTCTATTAAACTCTTCCGTTTCAGTTAAGGGTCAAATACTGCAATTAACAGTAGCCTAACTTGAAATAAAATCAAATGTACAAAAAAAAAGAACTCAATAAAAACAATAAATTATAAATAAAACTTAACTTATAAGCTAGCCCTAAACCAAGCCTATTTTCGTCCAAATGAATTTGTAGTTGCTTCAATTATTGTTGTTTTAACACCTACTTTTTGTTTTGATTTGAGGTTATGTTACTGTTGTAATTTACTAATTTGAACTCAGTTTATTTATCCCCAGTAGTTAAACCAAGTCGAGAGGTGGTTTAGTTTGAACTTAGATTAATACCTAGTTTAAATTTGGGGAAACACAAATCAAAGTTAAACTACGTTTAAATCACCGTTTAACTTAAAACTAAGTTTAAATGAGTTGGGGAAACCGGGCCTAAATATGTAAATGTTAACTATCCTTATGAATGTCAATTACTTTGTAGACTATGGTTCAGCTCAAGTTTTTTAGAAAAGTGCCAAAATGGTAAGAGATTACTGACAGAGTGAAATGTGTGTGTAGCATTTAGGCTTGCCCAGTAAACAATGTAATTCATAGCATGAGCTTTAATTGTTATTCTTTGTTCAGCAGTTGTTAAACACTATTTTCATTCGGCGTGAGTTTTTATAATGTAAATACAGTCTACAAAATAATGGTTTAAACATTATTTCATATATTTTTATTTTTGTATTCCTCGCAGTATATCCTGCCAGCCATAGTACATGTGAGTAACCAGCCGAGAGTGTCGCCAGGCGAGGGGCCTATAGCCCTGGTGTTGGCTCCTACCAGAGAGCTGGCTCAGCAGATACAGCAGGTGGTGGCTGAATTTGCTGCTACGACGCCGGGACGGGCTCGCCACGCGGTGGTGTATGGTGGGGCTCCCAAGGGGCCTCAGGCACACGCCCTAATGCAAGGTGAATAGTCTGCAAATATTTAAATATAGATGTCTTAAGCTGAAAGCACAAATAGTTTGATAAAATAAGAACAACATATATGTATGTACCTTGACAATCCAAAAGGGTAAAGGGGTTGGAGAGTGTGGTATTACCATAAATGCCAATTATCAAGATTGGTTTTTTTCTTGACCCATTGGCATGTCGAAATTGGTTCACCTGATGACACACAGGAATTCCTATTTTTGGCTCTTTTAGTGACTTACAAAAACAACTACAACTTCCTTAAGTAGGTTGAGTTTTGATTCCCATTCAAATGTGGGAATTTAATAATGTTGAGTGCTGGGATTCTGATTGCTTTGTAGGTAAACCAAATTCCTTTAAGGTTGGACGTCCCATAAGAGGGGTAAGGTATTTTTTGTGTGTATCTCACAAATGTCCTAATATTCTACGCTTGTCCATTATGCAAAAATATGTTTTGTCAGGAGTGGAGGTGTTGATAGCAACACCCGGCCGACTAATAGACTTCTTGGAGCGAGGCCAGACCAACCTGCGACGATGCACTTACCTGGTGTTGGACGAGGCTGACCGCATGTTGGACATGGGCTTTGAGCCACAGATCAGGAAAATCATTGGACAAATCAGGGTCAGTCCTTTAATGATTGTAGAATACGCCCAATGTAATGTGAATGGGTGATGGTTTTATATGCCATACTATTCACATTTTTCTGATATTTTACTCTTGTTAAGTAAAGTATTATTTTCATTGTCTGACTTTTCTTGGTATTTAAGAAATTTTCTTAAATTCAACACAGCAGATATAATCCAAATTATTATTACATGAAAGAGATAGTAGTACACATGTAGGCCTAATGATGTGCTTTACACCTTTCCCTGCAAAATGTTAATGTTCAGTTTTTACTATCCTATTTGCGTTTTGATCATGAAATGTGTGCTATGTGTTCAGCAATATTTTGAACTAACTACAACAGATAGTGATGTATGATTTGTGGTGTTACAGCCTGACAGACAGGTACTGATGTGGTCTGCTACCTGGCCCAAGGAGGTGCAGGCCCTAGCTGAGGACTTCCTCATGGATTACATACAACTGAACATCGGCTCCCTCACTCTGGCTGCCAACCACAACATTCTGCAGATTGTAGACGTTTGCCAAGAGCATGAGAAGGAGCAAAAGTAAGCTTTTGTGAATTTTTTTCATCCATAAACTTGATTTTTTACCTGGATAATACCTGGTTTTGTGGCACTTTGAGAATTAATGGCTCAGTAGAACTTTCCGTATGTGACCAGTTATTGACTCTTCGGAATGCCCTTCGACGTCTTTCAGTTCAATCATTGACTATTCTGTGTATAATCAATAGTTTAATAAATATTCAGTTACTTGTAAGTACTGTACTGTATTGTCTTTGCCTCACTGTAAATTAATTTGTTGCTTTTCTGATTTTTTTACTCTAACCATACAACAATTTATACCAGTCAAAAATGGTCCTTCAGTTTAGTGTTTGTGGAGGTCTACATTTAATTTGCCAACGTGTGCCAAAGAACTTTTCCTAAGAAGTATCCATTCTGCAACCAGTGTCAGTTTTCAGGCTGTTAATTATACTATACCAGATATACCAGGTAGCATAGAGAAGCAAGACGCACATTTCACGGTTCAGTACGGTTCACCTTTGTACTGTACTGGCTCACTCCTTGCTTTGCTGTAAACGATCCACGCACGGGCGCTTAGTCTATGTGGACGGGCAAATGCAAGGTTAAAAGCGGCCGCCAACCTCTTTAAAAAAAAAAAAAAAATAAAAAAAAATTTAGCACTGGTATGCTGAGAAGGATATGTACTCATAACGAGCAAGGAAGAACTCGAACGGTGATGGCCATGTAGCATGTTTTACAGCAGTTGTAGCGCACAGGGTCTTCCTACAGCGTCATTGCTGTAGTACGTGCTGGCAATGGGTAAAGGAGAGCAGAAGGGTACGACAAATAGAATTCACCCTAGACACCAGCAACTGGTGATAGACACCACCTAAGTGTAACATTGAATGTTTGTATCTTACTTCTCTGTGCAGGTAATAACTAGAGTTTGGATCATACCCTTAGAAGAAATGTTTACTAAAACCACTGGTGTATAGCTACGCAAAAGGTTTAATTTTCCAAGCCAAATTTCTATGTTTGTTTTTATTTAGCTAATTTTCTAGGATTTGCTTGGCAATTAGAAGGTCTATGGTTTGATTTTAAAATAAGTAATTTTCAGATTACGACGCCTGTTGCAAGACATTGGATCTGAAAAGGAGAACAAAACAATAATATTTGTCGAGACCAAGCGGAAAGTGGATGATATTACAAGATGCATCAGGAGAGATGGGTAATTTTTGTGACCTTCTTTATGATTTGTACTATTTACTTTTTAGCCAATTTCTTTAAAGTTGTAATATATTATTTTGATCACTTTAATGGGATGTGAAAAATCATAAAACTAAATAATTTTATAACACTTTTCTTTTATTATTTAAAAATCAAATTCAAAAATCCATGTTTTTTTTATCTAAATAAGGTATTCTACCTAACCTAACTGTTTGAGTTTATAAGCAAATAATACAAATAGAAATAGCCTATCCTACTTGAATAGTGTTCTGATGAGAGTTTTGATCTAATTTATTTACTCATTTGATGTCTCGTGAACTGGAACATGGCCGCCGAAGAACCAGAGTCCCGCCCTCCGAATAAGTCCTCGTGACCTTGAAAGTGGATGCCGATGATGAACATATTATTTCTTCACCAAAGAAGTCTGTCTACTGACCGACGGAGAAATAGATTGATTGGTCGAAGTATTATACGTGGTCCTTTCTCGTCCACTCACGCCGACAGGAAACAATTGGTGACTCGGGGTGTAAGCTACTCGAACTACAGTCACTTAAGTATTATACCAACATTATATCACGAGCCGATTACAAGTGGATCAATGTCTTCCACATAGGTCGATAGAAGACAGTTGATGAGTAGTATGCACTCGAACTACGGTGTTTTACCAACATCACGTTGATTTCCGTTGACTATCGTTAACTTGAGCTTCCTCGTGCGACTCCTCGTGGGCTCTCTATATCCCTACCTCAAGGGAAGTGCTTTACTAGGACGCTCCTAGCGGTCAATTTTCAAAATTATTGTAACCTCCATTTTGGTAATGCAGATTGTTGGACTGTGCTGTGCTCTACGCTTTAGTTTTGAAACCATTCTACCGTTTGTCAAATTTGCACCCATCACATGTGTTGATTGAGCATTTAGTGTATACAGTATTGGTACTTATGTAATCAGGCAAAAACTACTGCATTTCCTTTCTCTGTTCTACGTTTGAGTTGTTTAGCTAAATAAATATACTTACAGTATTTATAATGTTAAAATACACTTGGATTATTCATGATAGTTTAGGCAATTTTTTTACTACTTGTAAAAAATCGTGTTCTTTTTTTCAGCTGGTCAGCCTTAAGTATTCATGGAGATAAAAATCAGACTGAAAGAGATCATGTACTACAAGGTATGTTTTTTTCTCCCTTAATCCCTCAATAAGTCATAATAATTGCTGCTAGCCATAAGATTTCACAAAAATATAGTAAAACAGTTTTACAGAAGTTCCATTGAGGAACATAAGGTTAGCATTAGATGAGCATTCTTAAAAATTTGCAAATAATAACAATTTGCTATTTAACAGAGTTCCGAAGTGGTCGAGCTTCTATTCTGGTTGCTACAGATGTTGCTGCCCGTGGTCTAGGTAAGTTTTACCATCAAATAGATCCTTTACGTCAACTTGATAAACAACTGGAAGTATATTGAACTCTTTTAAACAAAAATTTGTTAAAACGCACCAAATTTCATAGTTGTACCATTTAAAACATTTTTTTTACTAAAACAAACACAAAATTAAAAATCAAGAATGCATTTTTAATATAATTACAATGTGTTAATGTTTTTCAAGGTTTTGATTCATCTATTAGCTACATTTTAAAGACATTTTTTTGGTTTTTTTATGATCTGCGAGATTTGTTATTAATATGTAATGTATTTTCATTAGATGTGGAAGATGTGAAGTTTGTGATCAACTTTGACTATCCGCAGTCGTCGGAAGACTATATCCACCGCATCGGCCGCACCGGGCGGTCACACCAGACAGGCACAGCGTACGCGTTCTTCACCCCCAGCAACGCACGACATGCCGGGGACCTGGTCAGTGTGTTAACAGAAGCCAATCAAACCATCAACCCCAAGTTGGCTGAGATGGCTACGATGGCTCGAAATGGTAAGTTGAAGTTGTAGAAACTAAAATTAACAGATTGTTTGTGAGGATATCAGGCTTACCTGAATGGAGAAAATATTTTGATGTCTCTGACAGCAGAAACTTTCTCTTCAACTTTTACCTTCCTTAGTTGAAAATGCTGCCAGAAATAGTGAAATGTACTAATTATTTAGGTAAGCATGTTATAACAAAAGGTAAATAAATCTTAAAAAAAAACAGATTTTTACCCCTCGAGGGATATTAGGTTGTTACAATGTTATCTTAAAAAATACCTTAAATTGATGCTTTCCAAATCTATTGTATTACAGTACAGAAATTTTTGTCGAAATGAAAGATACAAGCAACCATTTTGTTACGAGACAGGATGGTTATTTATAGCCTGTCACTGGAGGCCAGAGTCAAAAAAACTATCATGTTCTTAGAGTAATTAACCCCCATCCCCTGCCCACCCTACAAGTTGTATTGTTTGTCTACTCTAGCGATAAGATAATTCTAGATTATATTACAAAATAACTTATTCTTAGTCACATCCTGTGGAGATAAGCGTATGGTTTTCATCGCCGAGCATGAACATTTTGCGATTGAGTGCGGATAATCCGATTATCGGTTAATGCGAGGTCGTTTAAGAGGGGGTCTACTGTATATGTATTTTAACAAGACACGTACGTCCATATAATAAAAGCCTAAGAAGAAAAATCTGTGTCCTCTCAATGTAAAAAGAAGTAAAACATGTGTCGTGTGCAATTCTTACTAAACTCTCTTATGGTGTTAAACCCTAAGCTGGACATCATTTATTTAAGGTGGACCCACACATTAGGAGGCTAGATATGGATCACAAATTTACGGGATTCGAACCCACGCATACCTAGAAAGAAAGACCTCAACACTACACTCATCAGTATAAGCACACGACAACACTAGCACCTGTAAGTTAGATTCGATGTACTACTTGAGGGCCACTGGGTTAGCAGTACGACTATATACGGTGACGGGCTATACTTAGATTGATAATTTGTTATCCATGGTTAAAATATTATTAGTTAAGTTTTATATCAAACTTGTTTTACTGTATACTATTTTAATCTGCGCTTCCAATTTTAGGGCTACCCAATAAGTTTGGAGGTGGAGGAAATAAGTTTAGAGGTCAAGGAAACAGAGGAAAAGGCGGGGATATGCGAGGAGGAAGGGGAAGAGGAAACCTGGGACGTGGAGGAGTTGGAGGCGGTGGAGGTGGCGGAGGAAACTTTAACAGTTACAACAATGTCCCGAGACAACAGTATCCAAACTTCAACTTCAGCAGACCACCTCCCCCACCACCACCATACTCCGGCCCTGCCTACTAGACTTTGTTTCTGCCTTGACTTAAAACTTTTGTTTTACCAAAGAAGTAGAGATTGTCTGTGATTTTCTAATCGCTTCACTCAGTATTTCTGTTTACTGAAATTTCACTCTGTGATGAAAAGTTTAGGTCAAGTTTCGGTGGAGTTTTTAAGACTTTCATCAAAAGTGTTTGATGTTCCTAGGGTTTACAGCACTGTTAAGTTTTCTAATTTTTGTTTTGTGATTTAAATTTTATGTGATTTTGTTGTTAGTAGTAGTGTTAAAATTAATTTTTATGAAAAAATACAAATTTTTCATAAGAGAAAGTTTTTTTTTTGTTGGATTTATTTTTGGTTTTATGTTGGGTTTTTTTCTACCAAGCGATAGTGAGACAATGTTCCTTTTATTTTGTGAGAGAATCTAAGAACCAAAGTATGTTTTGAGTATTGCATACTCAGTAGTATTGTGCTAAGTATTATAGTTATTTAATTGGTTTGTTTTTTTTTCCATGATCGCAATAATTTCCTTATCTCTATTATGGTTATTTACATTTATGACTGAAAATCAGGGGTGTGCAAGTCGTGAATTTCATGAGTTGAGTCGAGTTTACAAAAAACTTGTTAGCATTGAGCTTTGTCAAGTTAAGTTTTTCTATTGTGAAGTGACATTCATGCTTCAAAATATTAAAATAAAGCTTTCCAAAATGATGAAATGGGCAGGCACTTCATGGTATAAAAATCTAAAATAAAACTTACGGATCAAATTTTTTTTAGACAAATACAGTGCTCTGCTATAATACTTTATTTTAAATAGGGATGGACGAGATTGGATTTTTAGTTCGAGACGAGACGAGACAAGATTTTTTATTTCTCATAAAATTTCGAGACGAGATCGAGACGGGATTTCCCTTCTCATACACAACGGGAAATGCACGTTCAAAATTTTTACCTGATTTTGTAACATTGTTAGATGACTGTTTAAATACAAAAATAATGATAATAGGCAAGAATATTTACAACCTTTTATTAAAAAGCATCAGCATAAAATTTTTTTATTAATCACGCCTAACTTATTAAAAATTCCTAAGATTAGGAAACATAGTGATATCAGTTAGGATAGAGTTCAACTTATCCTAAAATAAAATAAATCATAAAATAAAAGCAATATTAATTTTTATAAAATAGTTACTTGTTTTGACTTTTTATAGTAATAACACATTCCTCACTCTGCTTACACTTAACAAAACTTCTCAAATGTTATAAAAGTAATATTATTGAAATAATTAAAATAATATTTACATTTAAAGAATTAATTAAATAAGAACGCCTTTGCTAAAGGAAACGCAACTACAACACGCTCCTGTATTGCGGGTATTGCATTGACTTTCTCTAGGCTTTTTTAATTTTTTTTTTTTTATTCTCGTCTCGATAAAAATCTCGGCCAAAAAGAAATCTCGTCTCGTGTAACGAGATGTAAAATTTCCCAAAAATTTCCCGAAATTTCGAGACTTGACCATCCCTAATTTTAAACTTTCTCTACAATTAGGCCACACTAATGTTATTTTCACCTTCTAAAACCTCAGTAGCCTTTGAGTAGTAAACTACACCCTTAAAATATAATAAAGTATTTTATATTATTGATTTAATACATCCGCTGATTGTAGTGTAATGTTTGTAATAAGTGATGCCTGATTCGACTATAGTACTTCTCAATTAATCAATTGATACGTACTTTCAATACATATGCAATTGTTTACAATCAAAATTTACAACTGAGTTGACAACAGCTGATTTTTACTCCCTAGGGGCTAAAAACGATAGGGAGTGAAAAATGCTACTTCATACCCACAACACATGCATTAAAAACGGCTGGTTTATTTTAGTATGACAAAAAATATATTAATTTGCGATAGAGTAGAGATCGTGCTTTGATTCTGTCATACAAATAAGTATAAATCCTTTCAGCAAACTCGACTCTCACGAATTTTCTTAAAAGTTTGAGTTGAGTACTGAAATACTCCACAACTTGAGTATTCATGCACACCCCTAATGGAAACTAAAGGAAATTGTTGTTTCAATGGCCCAGGTTTACACACTTAGTGACGTCCACTTAAACTATCTCAGATTAAGCTGAGTTCTGTTAACAGAAGTGATAATTTACATCAACTTCTGATATGTAAACTTAGTTATGTAAAATGAATGTACCATTACTGTTAGGAGGTTTGATTTGTAAAACGATGGCTCTATGATTGTGAAATGAGTCGAGAGATCTGAATGTTGTATGAAATGAATAGACTCTCAATGCCTTAGATTGAGACTGTTGCAGTAAAGAAGAGGGAGAAAAATTGATTGCTGAGGCTGTGATGAAAAGGAAGTAATTTTATTGTCATATCACTTAGTAATACTATTCAATTATTTTTAAGAAAGGTATCCAAAAAAGTAATGAAAGTATCTCACAGGATTGATTGGTGTATGGAACACCCTTCCTTGGATATACTAAATTTGTTGAAAGTTCTATTAAATTTTTAAGATTAAAGAAAATGTTATTGAGCGATACCAAATATTTTGTGTGATCTTTTTAAAATGTGATTTTTTAATGTGATACATTTGGGCATTTCTAATTTTTACGGAGGGTTTTTATTATAACTGTGAATTTTTTGAGCACTGCTATGAACATCAGGTGCAGGTACCCAAGGTGAAATTTAGCTGGGGATGAAACAGTAAAAATCACAAAAACACAATAAAATAGATATTTTTGAAAGTCCTCGAACATTTTAATTGTAGATATATTATTAGTGGTTTAATAATTATATTAATCACTTATATCACCACTACCTTCTATAGTTGGTATAAGTATGTACATTCTCACAAATATCTGTTGTAAAAAATGGACCATCAGTTAGTTAGGCTTAGGTTCGGGAACAGTGTGTACAACTCAACATAATGTTGAATCGTTTTATCTCATTAGCTCAATTTCACCGCAGGTAAACTTGCTCGCCAAAGGAGAATTCATGTAGGAAACGCCCATGGTATGGTTATAAAATGTGATAACATGTGTAGGAACTGATTAAAGGACTGTGATGTAGGATAAAGAATGGTTTTAAGGATACAGAATAGTCTAAAAGACATGCAAAATTTCTAAACTGTAAGATAAACTTGTTAACATATTACACAATTCTTTATTTTTCAAATGATCTTGAAAGGCGTTAAATCTGAAAGAACTTTGAAATATTTGTCTATAATTGTCTGATAATAATTTAAGATATAAATAAACCTTGCAATCCATTCTAAATTGTTAATAATTTGAGACATCTTAGTTACATGTTGGTTTTTTGGGGTTTGGGTATGTGGTAAAGAAATTGAATTGTTCTCTCTGTACTACTCTCTGTATACTCTTTACTTTTATTCCTGTAAAAAAAGCTCTCACTATTCTAAACAAGGGAGCATCCCAGTTTAAATTCAGTACAATTGGGTAGGTAAATGGTTAACTTTTCAGTCACATGTGTAAGTAATCCGCCACTCAATAAACTAACAATATATTCATCAGATGTTACAATTTCACCAAGACAGTGTCAAACCTAAGTGGCAAAATATAAAGTAAATTTTACCAAGTAACAAGATTGCAAAAATATCTGCTCATTCTTGTAACTTGGATATCACTAGGAATCATGGAAATACTGTAACTTTAATTTAAGCTTAATATTATTAGCCTTACTTTTACTTATCAACCGGTGTTTTTTTTTCATTTTGTAATTTGAACATTTAATAAAATGTTCTGCACACCAACATTGTACTTTTCTACATATCCTTTTCCAAAAAAGATGTATGCTCAATGGTATTTGTCCGAATGTCCTTTTCTTTTGTACCGTACTGTATTTTGTAATTTGCTATTATATTGTAGATGGTTTGTTATAACCATGTCCATAATCTTATAATTATTTTTTTTACGTTTTCCTTGCTAATTCATCATAACCATAATGGAGATATAAAGTCAATGATAACGGTTACCTGGGAACTCATAAGGCCTAAAAAAGTAATTTTAAGATTGACAAATTACAAATTATTTATTCCAGAACAGCCTAGCATGAATCCCATTTTTATATTAATATTCTAACAATTTAGAAGAAATCAGATCTCTTTTTGAGATCATTTTGCGTGCGAACCTTACTCGTAAAATTGATAGGATTTCTCGTTAAAAATCTAAACACATGAGTAACTTATTTGACGGGATAAGGGTCAACAGGGGTTTCTCTGTAAAAACTATGGCTAATTTTCATGCATTTTAAAGGCAGAATAAAAGAAAGCCTAATCATCGTGACGCGAGAGTGAGCTAGTCTAGTGGTAGAGTGCAGGACTTCGTTTTTCTGAGGTCCCAGGTTCAAATCTCGCCTATCACCGATACATTTTTATCAGCGTGATGATGCAGAAACTATTTTAGCCTAGCTTGCAGCATTTAGTAAAACAGTCCTGGGCTAGAGGTAGGATAGAACGAGAAGGTAGACAGAAAAAAGGAAAATTAATATTTATCAGAACAAATATATTATATATTTCATAATTAACAATATATAATAAATGTTGTGTAATAAAAATATAAAAAATTTAGAATAGTAACAATAAAATATTATAATTGCAGTCTACTAAATTTAGTAAACACACAAACAAAGTAGAAATGCAAAGATAGAATAACTTATTTTTTAACATATCAGTCTTAAATACTATATCATCATAGAAAAACTTTCTTAAAGACCAAAAGGTATGAAATTATGAGCTACACCGCTACACCTTTAGGATATGTAGACCACAGTTCAACTCTTGAAAATAGAATATATATTGAAAAATATATTATCTTAAAAAACTGTTTAAAAATCTAATAGTACTTTTTGGCTATTGGTTAAGCAAATTGTAAAAATAATAGAATTAATTTTGTACAATTAGTTTTATGAACAAGCTTTATTGGTGACAGCATAGTACTTCATGTTGTACACAAACTCAACTAAGTTGACAGTTGATCAAAATTTTACATGGCAAGTACACTCTTGTCCTTGTCCATTTTATTCTCAATTACCATGCTGCTAGCTCTGAGATGTTGCAACTTATTAGAACAACTCCTACATTCACATTTGCTGACTTTGTCACAATACATGGTTCTTAAAAGTTTAAGGCACATCATTGACAATAGAAATAGTTATTTGTGTAACTAGTGGGCACTTTGCTGCACTCGAGAGCAACGTTTACCTATATGCGGAATGATCTCGAGTGCAGCAAAGGCCTTTTGCACTCGTGTTACACATTATATTTTTCCTACAGTCACTATAAAGCATGTAAAATAATTAGTATTTCAAACACTATACAACACGTTTTTAGGTTCAGCTGGCAACACAAATAGGTGCCCTAGAGAAAGTAGTCCCCGGTCCGTATCACTCCGCTATTTTTTCCTCGGCAAGCAATGTGCTCCGCGACTTGACAAAATAGTTCCGTATATTTTTTTAATTTGCAGTGGTTTCCGCGCCTAAAAAATTGCTTTAAAGGTATTTTCTTGTTTATTAAGATCGTAGGAATGTTTTAAAAACGTTTAAAAGAAAAGTCCAGAAAGTTCAGAAATACCGAAACGAAAAGAGAACGTTAACTATAAACACAAAATGACAGGTTAAATCGTAGTTATAATAGTCAATCAGCTGCTCATAGTATTATTATCTTTAAGTGTTGCCAACCTATTTCCAAGCGTACACGGATTACGTGCATAATAGAATCACGCTGTTTTGTGTTGTTTCGTTGGAATCTTGATATGCGCCAAAGTATAAACCATACGACAAAGTATAAATATGCAGCAATTAGCAGCTTTCTGTACTATAAACAGTACAAGGAAGCCAACATTGTCGGGTATCAAGGGCTTAAAATATTTAGATGAGAAGGAATAGTTTTATCACAGTATATACTTAATATCTATTCTGTGAACTGAAGCAAGACCTTGACTAGAGATGCGATTGTGCTGTCTTCTTTGCATGATGGAGTCAACACTAAGTGAGCTAACCTGTAACAAAGAAACACTTCATAAAAATTATATTTTAAATGGGAATAATAATCATTTTCATGTCATAAAAAGTAGTTTATACATGGTAAAACTGCTACAGTAGACTCCGTCTTATCCGGACACCTTTTAACCGGACTACACTCGGCGGAAATGACATCTCTTTAACCGGACAATTTTTATCAGCACATTGGTTTAACCGGACTAGATCGGCAGGAAGTCGGCGGTACTGAAACGACTGTTCTTGTGGGAAAGATTTGAGACCAGTGATCACGTGTCTAAATACAATGCTCTCCTGAATTTAAGTAGAATATCACAGTAAACGGTCCGTTTTAACGAGTTTTTGGGGACGTCGGTTTAACCGGAAAACCCGCTATCTGGACTGGCCTTGGTCCCGAGGAATCCGGATAAGAGGGAGTCTACTGTATCACTGTTTTTTTGTCATTTTTTCCATTATCGCCAAAAACTGAAATTAACAGTAAAATTGAAAGTTCTTATGTTGTTTAAAGGCTACTTTAATTTAAGCACTAGCATTGATGAAAAGAACTTCTACATTTAAATCACCAACCTGTACTAGGCTACACAGGTTATTATTACCTTGGACTTTTTAAAATCCTAATGAGTTCTTTGGTGTGTTGTAAAAAAGTGTCTTCGTCTTCTCCAGGAGTAATTTCTTGCTTTTTTATAAGTTTTTCGAAGGCAATAATTGCTCTAGGGATCAATCCTGGACTTCTGCAAGTCAACTGTAAAAAGGGTTATGTTATATCAGAAATATTTAAACACTTAGATGAGATCAAATACCCGAAATAAGCAAAATGTTATGAATCCGTTAGTTTTATTTTAGGCAAGAGGTACATTGGGCATGCAGATCACGGTGTGACAAGAGATTTCCAAGCTGATAGAGGAGCTAGCTTTGTCGTGCACATGTGTAAGGCTTCTGCAAACTCCTCACGCTACTAAAGCATATTTTTAAAAATCTAAACATTTTGATCCATACACACCAATACATTTCAAAAGGGATTGAAAGTTGGAGAGACATTTTCTCTAAATTGAATGTTGTGATTGAATGAAAATATATTTCATTACTCAGTTAATTACCAATATCCTGTAAAAAATATTAAAAAGTTGTGGCATTTAGATCACTCTAGTAGTTGATTGACTATGGTATAATCTACAAAAATTAATAATACAACCCCTTAAATCTAAATTCACACTATAATCCAAGCATAATAAACAAAACTGTGTACGATTCCAAGAGCTTACCATAGCAAGGGAGTCACATAAGGAAGTCTCCAGCTTCAAATCCTTAGTAGCCTTTTCTTGCAAGAACTCATGTAAGATAGCCTCTAGAGTTTCAAAACATTCACTGACATTTTGTCCCCTGTAATGAATTTTGTATGGTATTTAATATGTTTGAAAAGGATGATACACATATAGATATATTAACTTTGAGAGGACTTTCTGCCTGCAAGGATAAATAAAATAGTCATAGTCTAAGGTTAAATCTCAAAACTATTGCATTAAATGTAAAATCTATGCTTTTACCAAACAAGAGAGCAATATTTTGTTGACTGCAGGACACTCTGATGTTGCCAGACAGGAATTTGTCATCAAATATGAGCATTGAGCATGTCTATGCTAAGCCAAATCTACAGACAATGCCTAAACTAAAGTAGGCATTATAGGCACCGTTATAATTAACTCTGGTTTAGTTTTTAAGTTAAGTCAATCGTCTAAATAGCCGAGTAGTTATAGTGCTCGCAGATCTGGAGGTCGCTAGTTCGGTTTTAAAGCGTTGCCTATATGCCATTTGGCATTGTATTATTATCGTTAGATAGTAACAACACCAAGGTGTAGACCGATCCCAATCAAAACGCAATAAATGCCAATGGTGTGGATAAAAACAGTAAAAAGTCAAAGTACAGACTAGAATGCTTGATATTTAGTCAAAACTGTTTAACGTTTAAAAGCTTTAAAACTATAAAATTGTTTGTGGAAATATGTGTTATGAAAATGTAGTAAGAACCATAATGAGACAACATTTATGACAATTCTTCTTATATTTTAAGGGAAATAGCAGAGAGTATCCCACTTTTAAAACACTATATATTTTAGTTGGATTATTTAAATTGGGATGGATATACAGTTTCTAGAGATTTAAATTTCAAAATCTCACTTACGTGTTAACATGTTTACCGACAGCTTCAACCAACGATCCAAACAGTTGTGGACAAAGTTGACAATAATTTGACACTGATAGAAACTGACTAATGCAGCTTAGTTCCATCAGTTCAGGCTGTAGTGACGATACCTTCGATACATACTGGGACAAAACACTGAAAATAATCAACGTACATTTGATAAGTAGGCCTACTGTAAGAAATATTAACACAACTTTGCATGGTGAAGATAGGATCAGGTTGTTATGCTATTGTAAATCAATAAAAGGTTGAAATAAGTAGTTTTTAAAGGGAAACAAACAAACTTGACTTTAGAGTTGTTATTAAGGAGAAAGGAAAGATTCTCCTAACTATCTCCTAGAGTAGATTATTGGGACTAACTCGCCTGAATAAAGAGTCCCAGGAGATTAATACAACACATAAAACTGATATTTCAGGTAGAATGGCAGTACCAACACTGCATTATACAACATAAAAACTATAGTAAAAATGACATAATAATGCAGGAAAATATTGATTTAACCCAATCCTACTTCCATTCTGTGGCACAACTATAAGAGGAAGCAATGAAAAATAATTGCCAAAAAACTATAGATAAAGATCAAATGAAAACATGACTTACCCATAAACAGACTTCTGATAAGCAGGAATTGGACACAAGAGGGGAATTCTTGACAACAATACAGGGAAAATTAGCTTGTTGGCTTCCTTGTTTTTGTAAACAGATTCCAAGAACACCTGAAGCAGAAGATGAGAAACTTGCGAACATACGTCGACCAACCCCAAAGAAAACAACGTTCTCAACACAGACCAATAGTTAGGATACCTAAAAAACAGAGACATTGATATTATTATATAAAATATACAATTACTTTCAACTCTATGATAAGTAAATAAATAATGGTGAAATCGAGCAAATTTATTAAGTCATGCTATGAACTTCATTAGAATAAATTCATTAAGTGAAAAATACAAAATTTATATAAATTCATTAAGTGAAATACAAAATTGATAGAATAAGTAATAATGTATCAATTTACAATTTTTTTTTTAAATATAACTTACAACTTGAGCAGATCTGAAGTTTCCCCTGTTTTTGCTTCTGTTCTCATCATGTGAATGTAGACAGAATTGAGGTTAGAATCAGACTCCACCTGTTGTCTAGCAGAGACCAGCACCGGAACTTTGAACCCTGCCTGCACCAACATGTTGAGAGAACTCTCGTGGAGACATACTGAGGCGGAGAGTGCCGGCAGATCAAGCAGAGAATGAAGTGTCTGGGAACAGCAGAGATGAAAGAGCTCAACAAAAGTTCCAAGTGGCCAAAGAGTTTAAAGATTCTTGACTTGTTTCAAACTTAAGGCGCCAAAGGAAGCATGGGGTTCCTACCATTTTTCTTGAAGAATTAAATTTGCTCTTTATTTAGTTCCAAAAAAAAACGTTATTACCAGAAAAAAAATATTTAACTTCAGTATTAAATCCGTCCACAAGTAGTCAAGAGACTCATTGTTTATATTCACAAGATGATTAATTTACTTTAATTTTTAAATGAAAAAGTACTTCTTTTGTTCAAATGTTATTAAAGATTTACAAAGAATGGAATTTAACATTATAATTGGGTAAGAAGTTTACATTGCAAAAACTCTCATGTGCAATGGGATTTATTAAATCTGTAGTTTAATTCAATGTGTGAATCCAATAGTAGGCCTATAAAACACAAAAAGAGTAGTTAGGTATTGAGCTAACAAACAAGGCTTGAAGTAAAGCTTAATAGTAGCCTCTTGGACTGATAAGTCAGACATTGCTGGTTAATGACTAACTGCATGCATTATCTTATTTCTACCGTCACCCATCATACGACTCATGTTATTTTACTGTCTTTATATCATACCACAGACCAATAGTCTATAGTATAGTCTCAGTATGGGAAGTTCCTCAAAGTATGGTCTTTGACTCGACAAAACATACCTCGGTTATAAGATTGATATCTGATGTAGCACAAGAGACGATGACCATGAACTCTTCGACCAGTGTTGACGGGTGAGTAGCCAGCAGTTTGAGGATGTTGGGCAAGTAGCGAGCGACCTGGCTGGCTAGACGCACATCATGGCCGAATCTGGCCAACACTGTGGCTATTCTGTGGCTTATATGACCTTGGCTGAACTCTGATTTGACGGTGTTTCCCAATATTCTATCTGTCAGAGTGCTCTCCTTACCTACACAAATCCATATTAAATTAAGTCAAAAACTTTTCATAGGGACTATAACAAAATGCTGATAAGTCAAAAAGATTGTTTGTTATAGAACCGGATTTTAAATTTAATTCATGGCAGATAAAATAAGATTTTTCTCTGGATGAAGATTCTAGAGGCTTTGGCCTGCTCCTTCTAGGAAGGGGAAGATAAAACAGAATTTTCGTGACATTCATGCAGGATCAAAAAAGATTACTTAAAGATTACCAGCGGAGTTTTATTTGGTTTTGTGGAAACAAATGTCCAGCACCTTGTTCTATCTGGTATTGCCAAACAGTGACAAGCAGCGATGTGAGTTTCAGCTGATCCGCCAGGTGTAGCAGTCTCCCCGTCATCAGCTGACACTTCCCAGAGCTACTCGGGTCTACTTGTCCTACTGCAGCCAACACCATCACCACCTCCTCCAACGTCTGTGCAATAACATCACAGCTAACACAGCCAACTGATAAAGTATTTATGCCTATAGTTGTTATACCAAGAGACATTTTGTTCACTTGAATTATCTAAAACAGATGGTTTTTTAACATTTTATATTGCCTGCTTGTGCTACTGGCCTTGTGCAAAGCCGTTACCAACCTAAAATAGCTTGAAATACTCTAGAGCCAGGTAACCTGCCTTCCTACTGGCTTTGTGTGAACGACGCTTGAGCAAAATAAAACTGACAAAGTATCTATAGTTAGTTATACGAAGTGGCACTTTTTGACTTGACTGGATCGTTCAAACTGACAGTTGCAAAATCCAGGGTTTCATCTTTTTACTTGAATAATGGACTAGCCAAATATTGTGGACTCGATCAATACTAAAATAATTTCCAATATGTTAAGATATAAAATACTAATAAAATCCACAGTATTTGTAAGTGACTTGAGATCTATAGGTCGCCTATAAAGCTGACCTTTTAAATTATCAGCTAAACATTGCCACGATCTGTTGTAAAAGTTACTTCTACAATAATTATTGCTCTATCTATACTTCACTCCGTCCATGAATAGTGTAAAGTTTATGAGAGTGTCCAAATAATAGTGTTATTTATGCATTTTTTATTAAAAACTGTCTTTGACAGCTCCTGGTTTCATTGGATCCCCAAAGTTTCTACTACTTATTTAAAGAATAATAAGATCCACTCCTCTGTTACTCATATCTTTCTTTAGGTGGAGGTCAATTTAACTAGGATTGCTTTCATAGTATTGAAAGACAGTTGAGCGGTGCGATTATGTTTCATGATTTTTAGTAAAGCGATAAATTAAAACAATGTTTATAGATATAATACAACTATTTCATCAAATTAACTTGTCAACATCTATAACAAGTTGTATATGTTAGAGATGTGAACATTATATAAGTTTGATATCGTTTATCGGTATTTTTTTAATGTTTGCTTGGTAATTTCATCTGGTGAACCATCAGTTTTGGTATGTAGAACCAACAGTTTGACGCTGTCCATCCCTGGCTGGTCAAAGACGAAGAGGAGGTAATCAGTACCCCACCAATCAACATTTTCTCAAGCTTGGCCAGATTTGGCAATTCAGGCAAATAATCCTGCATGGATCCATGGTAGGAAAATTTAATTTTTTAATGACTTGTCTGTTTTGAGAGATTTTCACCAATATTTTTCACTATACCTTATAAGATCTGTTTTCTTAAATTTTGTACATTTAACATATGGAAAGCATTGTTTTCAAGCAAAGTGTTCTACATTCAATTATCTCAAAACATTGCCAGAAGTAGTTGTTCAGCTGATCATAGTTGTAGTATCTTTAAGTGTTGCCAACCTATTTCCAAGTGTACACAGATTAAGTGCATAATAAAACCACTCTTTTTAGTGTTGTTTGGTTGGAATCCTAGTGTCCACCAAAGTATAAATCGTGCGACAAAGTATAAACTATAAACGGTGCGACAAAGTAAGTAAATGCAGCATTTGGCAGCTTTCTGTACTATAATCAGTACAAGGAAGCCAACTTTGTTGGGTGACTGTAGGAAAAGAAGATATTTAGGTCTAAAGTAATAAAATTTTTGAAATTTTAAAAAGATTTATTGATGATAAAGAGATAAAATAAGGTTTAGGCAATATGGAGTAATTACAATATATTTAAAATTACTCTCACTTACGACGGAAAACAAAGGTAAACCTAGGGTTTTAGAAAAAAACTGACTTTACTCTAAAACATTTTTCTTTGAACTAAAATAATTAATGCTTTAACTAATTTAAAAAGTAGTAAAAAAATACAGTTTTTCATACCAAAATCTTTGTAATGTTGTTAAATATTTTGTTGGGCACATGGCACAGAATGAACTTAACCTTTTGCCATTAAAAATGAGGGTGGTTGCAGTCAAAAGCTAGGATAAAGGCAAACTTGCGTGATGTTTAAGTGATTTCATAAAGGTTCAAATTAAATAATCAGTGATGCGTAGTGCTCCATTTGTAAAAAATGAGGTGCCGGAACTGTAACCTATTTAAAGTGATTAGTACCTATTTATGCCAATATTTTATCTTTTCTATTAAGAGAGGTATCAAAGCTCCGTTCCGCCGCGTCCCCCTTTAAATCGAGCACTGGTGATGCGCATTTATAGAACATATATTTTTTATGTAAGCTAGGTTTTCCAATCAACGTGAATAAGGTTGTGTTGTTTTATGTGGGCTACATATAGTTTAATTAATTTTTTTTATCATTTATTTAAATATTTTAAACTTCAAAAATGTGAAAATAAACTATCAAATCAATTTGTAACAAGCCTGTTTTAGTAATAAGTGCAACAGTATCACTATAACATAATGTTTGGGCTGTATAAAGTGTTTACAAATCTACTACCAATACTAGATCCTAGCCAAACCTCACTTATCTAGGAGTGTAACAAATGGTCGGGAAAAGACAGGATGTCAAATGGTGACAGGACTCTTAATTTATCAACACAAAACGCCGTACTTATTTTCTTCAGTTATGTTTGATAAAACAGATTATTAAAAAACTCACTAGATTTATGGTACAGAGAATGTTATAGCTGTGATATAAGGTTCTTCAGCGTGTTGAGTTTAAGCACCGTTGCTCTCATCGCTGTCTATGACTACCAATTCAATCTCATCCTCATTAACACTTATCAGTTCAAAACTTTTACACAAATTTTTCAGCCACCAGTGCAAAACCGCCGAGTCCAAGTTGTATTTTACATTAACCAAGTAAAGCCATTCCGAGTATGAAATGTGTTTCAAAAGTTTCATAAAAAGCATTTTACTTTCTCTCGGAGCAGTGCAGTGAGACAACTTCCACAACAAGGAATTGAAATATTCACTTTTGTAAAGACAGAGTGAAGTGATTCTTCTCAAGAAGGCAATCAGGGAAATGATCATCAAAAGAGCCAAGCACCACCAAGCCAGAAGGAATATCCACTTATTCACCATGTTTCTCGGAAGAAAACAAAAAGTGTCTCGATTTTCAAGCATTCCCGATGGACTATACCTGTGGAAATAGCACTTAGCCATTGTTGGAAAAATAGTTTCCAACTCTATTTCATTGTAAAAGTAAGTGCCCAAGGATTGGAATCTACCCTTCATGATGAAATCCAGCATACTGAACAACACATATGGAATACACCAGTTTGCTATTTCATACATTACAAAACTGAAAGCCCAACGATGAGCTTCTGCATGTAGCCGTGGCAGAGACAACAGTTCGTTCACAACGTTTCTTTCAGACTTTGCCATTCGTTTACCGTTCAGACTCTTCTCTTTCTTCAAGTTCTCGGCCCATTTCGCAGCTCTGATAATCTGATCCAGATAATGTCCACCGAAGTAGTAGTAAACCAACTGGCCGGAAGAACTGAAGAGGAAAGCCTCAAACATGATGAGACTGACCCAAACATAGTGTTCGTGAAGCATCATAGCATCGTCCTTTCCAATCTGGTACACAGTCAGCAGCTCCGGTATTTCCATTTCATGCGTCAACTTTCCCTGAGTGTAGCAAAAAGTCACTTTTGCCTTCTGGGACTTGTCGTCTACATCCGAGATGCAAAGTATCGGTGGGTACATACATTCAGTGGCGAATAGAACAGAGCACAACATTAAAAATAGGAAAGGTAAATGAAAGTAGATAGCATAGAGAAATCCGAAATACACTTTTGGAACAGACGTGTAGTACAGCTGGTGCAGCTTGTTAGTAACAGAAGTGATCATGTTGCTAGTGAAGTGACTCGCGACTGACTGCGACCACTGAATAGCTGACACTGACTGAGTCACACAGTGTCGCGAGTAAGATAGCAACTGTGCTGAGCTAGCATGTCTGCACCTGCACCTGCCTTTCCTGGTACTGTGTCACTGCTGACTGTCGAGCAACTATCATAACTGTCAAGCCGTGTTACATCATCAACTATAAATTAATAAAGTGTATAAAGAAAATGTTAAAATGTTAAATGATTAACTAAATGCTAAAATTATATATTTTATTTATAGCATATAATAAGGGACATTACTAGGAGAAACTGTTCATGAATTATGTAGTTAAATAATTGACTATAGCCTATATTAGTATTGCATGAAGAGGTACTGAAGTACCTCTGGTGAAGTGGTTCTGGTTTATCTATTAATAAATGGGAACAGAACTAGAATAACTGAAGAAGAGTTACATCATCATATATAAATTAGTATTACTTATTTTATTAATAAAATGGACAGTGGTGCAAAAACTGTTCTTTGTTAACTCACCTATAAATTATGTTTATTAAATTTATTTATTAACAGAGGGGCCAACCATTTGGGAAAATTGGTTGTGTGTTATATTATCAAATATAAACTAATATTATCTATTTTATTTACAAAAAGGTTATTACACATTAAGAGAAAATTGTTACGTAGGTATAAAGTTGTATAGCAACTTAACTATTAAAAAGATGCAGCTTACAAGTTATCCTGTATGTTTGACGTGGTTGAAAAGTTGGTATAATTTACAGAAATCAGTAACTTAAATTAGCACACCCTGTCGGTAGCTCGATTCAACTAATTTAATTTTGATTAAAAAACTGGTGACAACTTTAATATTGTGGAATGACCAATTCCTCAATACTCAAAGATTGTATCCACTGAGGACTAATTTATATAAACATAACAATACATCAGTATGCTCTTGCTTGTCCTCCAGTTTTATAACAAGTAAAAAAAAAAAATAAATAAAATCTACCCTTGAAAAAGACAAACACATTTAAACGTTACCATTATACAACCTACATTATCAACTTTCACTAAAAAATACAATGATCTTTATTAAAAAAATAACAATAGACACAACATCCAATACTCTTGCAATAATTTAATGTTAACTGATATTATTTCTTTACCGTTTCCTTTCTATTCCTCTACTGATAGCATGCGTTAGGCCTAGATACAGCAGAGGGTGTATGTGTGTGTAACTGTATGTTAGGGAAGATGAACAAATTTATGCTATTTTATTACTAGTTATGTTACAAACTTAATTGTATTTTTTGTTATTATTTTGTTGTTATTATTCGTTTTTTAGAGGTTGACTGTAAGAAAGGACCATGAAGTACTAAGTTCGCTTCAATAAAGAAGGAATTTCATTCATTCATTGATAAGAAATCCCATTTTATCACATAATCAAGGGTTCTCCATCTCATGCCTCAATGTATGAGAGGTTTGTACGCCAGTGAGTGAAATAGAACACTCCAGAATATTAAGGGAGTAGACCTGGGGTTGCAAGACTACTGTGTTGGCTATTAATTTCTGTAGATCAACTGGTTGACACAGTTCTGATGGAAGTAGGCAAAATAATCAAGTTCACCTAGGAATTGCTTGACAAAAAAGCCCCTCTTCAGTCAATGTTTTTTTCAATTACTTGACACAAGATTCGTGCAGATTTTCCAGTCTGTTCTGTTGGTTAATCTCTGCATTAATTTCTTTCTCCATGTGTGGAGGTTGCTTTGTTGTTTCCTTCACGCTCGAGCAGTTCATCTCAGGATCCAGAAAGGTAATTTCAGAGGCACTTTTTTATCTCTTCATGGGCTTTATTTTCTGGGCAAACCTATTTTCTTTAATGATTATCTTTCACAAATGACCATCACTTATGGATGATTCTTCTATCTCAAGAACACTTCTCCTTCTTTGAGGGAAACTCTCCTTTCTCTGAGACAATTAATTGTACATTCTCAAAGGTACTTTCTCTTTTCCTTTGCACTGTTCCTCCTATCTTTTGTTCTGGCACTGCCTATTATTTCTGGTTGTCTTTCTTTTCCATATTTCCTAGCAGCATTGTTCTCATAGGCCCTATCAGGAGGCACACCGGTCTGTTGCCAGATGGGAGGAAGGAGGCTGGTTGGGAGAGCGCATGAACCAAGGCATTCAAGGAAGGCAACCACCATGACCTGCTAGGGGATGTGAAGGAGGCAGCAGCTTCCTAGTCACCTGATCCCGCACCCAACCTACAACCCAACCTTGTGTGTTTGGGGAAAGGGGGGAGCCTAACAACATCCCGCCCTGGGTGCGAATACACCACGTGATGGCCCTGGTTGGGACCAAGACTACCTCAGTTACCGAGAATCTCTGATATATGGAGGTAGCTACATGTTTTAACAATATACTAGCTGTTGGCCTGTCCTACGTACAGGAATCCAGTAGTTGATTAAAACTGAATATAAAACAGCTAGTTTACAAGCATACAGAAACATTCTGGCAGTTTTAATAGGAAAAATAATCTTATAAACAAATATCATGTGACCACCTATTTCTTTCATCCGATTATAGGCCTAGGTATACGAAATGCATTTTAACCCTCTAACTGGCATAATCACGTTTTGCAAGGTTTTGGTTAACTCCAAATAAATGGTTAAAAACTATTGTAGAATGGAATAATTTTTACACCGTTAGAAAGATAAAGATTCTAATCTTACACTTTGTTTCAAAGATGAACTTTATTTCACAAAGGTATGACTGTAATTGAGCACTAAAGTGAACAAAAATTTCAAGCAAAGTCAGTTGCACCATGTACGCGTCACAAAACTGCCAAACACGGTACGTTTCAAAAAATCCTAAACGAGTGATATTTTTTTCCACAAAGAAACAGGTGGTACCAACTGCAATCAGGAATAAATTTACTATATTATTATTGTAGTTAGTTATATATTTTACACTGCATAATGCAACTTACCGCTGCCACTACCAGCTTGTCGTGTGGTTGGGTAGGCCGCTTGCCAGCTTGTGCCAACAGCGTGCTGCAGTAACTGCACACAGCATTGACCAGGGCTGTATCAACCGAGTCCCTGGTACGACGCAGGTATTTTCTAATGCCAGAAAACGCCACTAGGCTCAGATAGTGCAGTTCACTGATACTGGAAACTATTACACACTTGTTAACTGATCTGCTGACTGATAAGGATAATTTAGGAAAAATAAAAATTGTAGTATCAGTTTTTGCTTAGTAGCTGGTAAAAGGTAGCACATCAGTTGTTAAGTGGAATGTTAAAAGATTATTTTTGGCGAAGTATTAAAACATTACATAAAATAGGCGTGGTTTTTGGTTCATTTACTCCATTTATTTTTTAGGATAAACCTGATTAACGATGTAATGATTTAGTGTTTCTTAAATATAACCTTTTTATTTGCTTTCATAAGTATAAATGGGTTAATTTAAAATTGTCTTTTTTAATTAGTTATTTAAATTGGATAAACATTTTCGTTCATTTGAACTGCATAAGATGAATCTAGTTTGATTGGTTGCTTTGGACGGAGCAAAATTCATACTGAGTTTTTACATGTTTATGGGTTTTAAGTTTTCTAGTGGTTTTCTAATGTCTGAGAATAATTGCCTACCAAAGTTAAAGTTTTATCCCGGATTATCTTTAATGTGTCCAATTTTATAAGCATTTAAGGTTGAAGTCTTAAGGTTCTGGAGGCTTCAGAGAATGCTGAGGAAAAGAAACTGATAAGGTTACTTATTTGCTATGCTAATTGTAACCTTTAAAGTCAAGGAACATTTTGCACATCTGTAAGAAGTAGGTAGATGTTTGTAATTTTTCTTCGTAGCAACATATGGAGCGATGCCACCTTACAGTTGCTGGCTAGTCAATGCTAATGATTCTATAGATGCTCATCAGAAACACACAGCAAATATTTACAATTAAAGGCTACAACTCAAACTTGTATAATAGGTCTGAATTTAAATTGTTTTGTAATTTAACAAATTACCTAAGGTGAAAGCTGTGCATATGCCCACAGCAGAAGAACCATCCAGCTCAGTGACATCAGCTGATCTGAACAGCCCACTTGTCGTCTGCGGTGAACGGGAATAGGAGAGCCACAAGATCAGCTGTTTATTGAGTGAAGGGGTCAGATCACCTGGTAGTGTTGTCATTAGAAATCTCAACACTCTAGCTCTGTCTTCTAAACACAATCCTGGACTTGTCAGAGAGCTAGAATAAACAGGGACTATCAGATCAGTTAACAGTACGGTATTTAAAAAATTCTTTTTGCATTTTTGACCCTCAAACATTAAGTTTTGAAATTTCGCCCCAAACCATTTTGTAGAGCTATCTGGTCCACTACAATGGCTACGGGTTAAAATTCTTGTAGATACAATCATTAACAATTGATTTCTTCAGTTTTTTTTTTTTTTTTTTTTTTTTTTTTTTTAAGTAATTATCACTTTTGAGAAAAACAATACATTAACAATACAGTATACAGAATTTTAAGTATCTCACTTTGGTACTAAAATGATCTCTTGAAAACTCTACCTGAAAGTAGAAAAATATGTCAAATAACACTTGTAATCTAAACTTATTTAATACGCAAGCAGGATTTTTGTGACAATTACTCCTCCGAAACTACTGAACCGATTGACATGTTTTTGGTGTCTTTGGAAAGAGCTTGACGTGAAGTTGTGCAGGAAACTTTCTTTTTAGGGAAATAATTAGAGAGTGAGGCCCTGGGGCCATTTAAAGTTTTGTATTTCTCCATAAGATTAACATGGCAAACAAACATTGTAATGAAACTCCAGCTGTTGTCAGAAATTAAACGTGAGAAGAAGAACATATGTTAATTGTAAACAGTCAATAAGTTTGCTAATTTGACAGTTTGCTATAAAAATTTACGGACATATAAAAACTAAAACACTAAAAACAAGATCAACTTTTGTATCGAACTGTTATGTACATCTTGAGTATTTCCATAATCTTTGAGTCGAATCTTTTAATGTCATCAGAAATCATGACTGTTATTCGTTTTAAAATAACGCCTGTAATACTTAGCAATTGCTCGAATTCGAGCAACCGGTACACTAGTAATATATTTAAACTGTTTTCTCACAAGATGGTAAATACATATATAGGCTTAAATAAAAAAGATGGTAAGTGGTGATCGATTTTGATTGGACACTCCAATCATCATACCCAATAGGCAAAGCGATCACCACTTACCATCTTTTATGTGTGTCTTTAGCGTGAATAGTATAAGTGTAAATATACTATTACAAGTGTTATTTGACATATTTTTGTACTTTCAGGTAATTTAATAACACGTACGATGTCAATCAAGAAGTTATTTTGGAAACTTAAATAAACAAAAAAAAATAAACATTATCAGGAGCAAATAATCTCCAACTACAATTTACATGTGGTTACTGTTACCAATACTTACCCAATCAACCACTCGTAAGCATTGTGTGAGGGTAGAGGAATGTCCTTGTTGATGAGGAAACACGGCAACAAGCCGGCCACAACGCTAGGACTCATTGACAGCTTTACTGTGTCCTTGACACAAGAGGGACTAAGCCAATGACACATCTCCTCCACCTGATTACATTTTGTATATTGTTGATCAATATTAACAGTACACAGTTTTGCTTATGATTTTATCTTATCTAGCTTATTATCCTTAAAACCTAAGATTATTTAAATGTTAATATTGGAAATTGGTTTTAGACGGTTAAAAAAGAGGTGTGTATTTTGTAAAATGTAATGACTAACAAAAATTGTCATACTTCTTAAGTCAAATTAATTCCACATAAGTAGACACCAGTGACTAAGAAACAACTGGCAATGTAGGTTGCGAATTGAAGCCGCTAGTTGTGGCAGGGCCTACAGTGGTGAAGGAAGTATCAGGGCCTGTCTATTCCTACTGCCCCAGATAGGGTTAGTAATTTTTTAAAGTCAAAATCCTGGTGAAAATCATTTTGATGAACTTGAGAAGACAATTTGTAAGAAATATTCTTGCCTGAGGTTACACAATTTTACCGAACAACAGAGTGAAAAAATCCACAGAGAGTAAAGCAGTGGCTACACTTGCCAGTTTCGGTCCGGTCCAGTCCGAATGGAAGAGGTAGGCCTAGCTACTACACTTGTACAATATTGTGCACGAATATCATACTTTTAATTTAAAAAAAGAAAGTACATAAAAACTGTAGGCCAACATGTTTAAGGCTAGTTTTTTTTTTTTTTTATCACTATGCAGAATGAAAAAGAACACTGCTTGTTGCCAATATAATGTTAGGCCTATTTTCACATCTGTGCAACCTAATTTTGTGTAATTTAATGTTGTTGTTGTTGTTTAATGCATTTCTATAACACCTAACAAGTATTTATAAATAAACTAGCTGACCCGGCGAACTTCGTATCGCCTAAGTTATAGGTTTCCCCTAAGACAGACCGATGGAAAGAAAGTACCGTAACGTTTAATTTTCAAGATGATCTCGTTCGCATCGCTCAATCACGTCCTGGTTGAAGTTCGTTCGCTACGCTCACTCACCTTTGGGTTGGAGCTCGTTCGCTACGCTCACTCACCTTTAGGTTGGAGCTCGTTCGCTGCGCTCACTTGCCTTCAGGTTAGCTCGTTCGCTACGCTCACTCGCCTCTCTCGTTCGCATCGCTCAATCACGTCCTGGTTGAAGTTCGTTCGCTACGCTCACTCACCTTTGGGTTGGAGCTCGTTCGCTACGCTCACTCACCTTTAGGTTGGAGCTCGTTCGCTGCGCTCACTTGCCTTCAGGTTAGCTCGTTCGCTACGCTCACTTGCCTCCAGGTTGAAGTTCGTTCGCTACGCTCACTCACCTTTTGGTTGCAAATTAGCTGTTGTCATAAATGTAAAAGAAATAATAGTGCTGCACCCTGTTGGTAATCCTTGTAACTTTAATGCTATTGAACATCATAGAACAGGTTTAATTGAAACAGCTGTTAAGATTCATTAATTCCATTTCTCATAAGGTTAACATGGGAAACTCCAGAGCCACTGGGGCGGAGCCCTTTTAAGAATTTCGAAACGGGAAATAGTTTACGTCCGATTCGCATACCTACAGAATTTACACACCAAATTTCATAACGATCGGTGAAGTCGTTCCGGAGGAGTTTGCAGACAAACACTGTGACACGAAAATTTTATATATTAGATGTTTGCACATAAAGTTTATAGTTATTCCTTTTAAATAATCTAACTTATTTGAAATCAATATAGTTTACAAACTTTTAAATTTGTATACCCATTTCAAACAATGTATATAAGTATTATCATTTACATTTATACTCCTATTTCAAACAAAGTAGCAGTACATTTGAAATGTTATCTTATAGAGATAAAGCTTACAGTGACTTATAACTTATATGCCTTATAAGTTAAGCAATTCCCGGCTAGTCTGACAAGTTCATAAACAGTTTTTGGGCGATTGGTGTAATTGTAGATTTAGAATACAACTTACTGTTTGGAAGAGCAGTGTCCGTAGCTTACGAGGCACCTTTGCGCCAGTGAACGCAATAAGAAGAGAGTCAAACGCCCTCTGTACAGGTGGCGGGTACACTCTGTGATGTTGGTAAAAGGCTAAGATAGAGCTAAGAATCTCTGCTTTCACATTATGTTTGTATATGCTTTCCCACAATCTTTCCACGTCCTGGGCAGGAAGTTTCCTGTAAGATCACCAGCCACGCAAATTGTTTTACATGAAAAACAATCTTTGGTTGTAACTTACTGTACCTAAGTAACTTATGGAAAAGCAAAGTTAATCAACAAATTAAGACATACATGGTAGGGTTTAAATGCTTTTGCAAATATGATTTAAGGAAATTTGATTGATGTGAACTTATTTTTTTGCACTAAGTAACCTTTTGAATGTGCACAAGAAGGCCTATAACTACAGAGCTCTTCAGAGGTTATGTCTAGGCCTATACAGTGAGGTTCAGAGATTATTGGTAAATTTATGTACCATAAAGCCTAAAAAATATTATTAACCTAAATGGAGCCTTAGATTGTAATGCTTTAAGAAAAAGTAAGCTGGAACACTAACCTAACATTATTTTTCACAGATTGATTAAATTAGGCTAGGTCGAAAATCCTTACCTTGACTGGATTAAAACTTTTCTCAAATCCATTGTCTTAATCTAATTTATTTGGTTAAATCTGAAATTATTCAACACATAGTTTTAAGTCAAAACTAAACAAATACTCTTTGGTTTTATTTACAAAACACCGATACCAACCAGCTGATTGTGTTGTTTGTTGATGTTGACATTTTGTCTGTCTGTCGACCAATGGTGCACAGCTGTTTTTTGTAAGCATTGAGTGAGGCTTGATTAAAAGGATAATGTAAAACTATCATTAAATATAAGAATTGTATTGGGAAGAGGCACGGCCGCCTTTAACTACAGGCCGCGGCCTGGTAGAATTGGCAACATCGCAAGTGGTGTTGTTCAGTGACAGACGTCCCATAAGATAACATGGCAGACAGGTGACATCAGCTCATTAAATCGCACTTTATTGATTTAATTTTTAATTTATGAACATAAATTTATTAAAATATTGAAAATAAAACATACATAATTGAAAATTGAAACAATATGAAGTAAAATCTATATCTGTACATTTTTAAGCGGAGTCAATATTGTCATAGTCCAGTAATCAACCTTTCATAAATACATAAATACCATTAGTTGCTTCCAAAAAAATCATCTGTTACAACACCACTTGCGACGTTGCCAGTTCGAAGGCCGCGGCCTAGAGTTAAAGGCGGCCGTGGAAGAGGGGAAGGGGAATAAGAAACAATCATGGATTGAGCAAAATAAATTAATTTTGTAAATAAAATGTACTCTTTGTTAAAGATTTTTATTCCTTATGGATCAAAACTGAGGAAACATGTTTAAGAATATATTTTTTTTATCTGAAGCAAAATAAGACATTTTTGTTAACAGTTTGAATAGTCTTATCAGACTGTTAAAAAAGATTAAATTTTTGATCTTTAAAAATTTATTATTCAGTAATAAGGCCTATTGGACTAATATTGTTACGATTTGTGAACAGCTACCTAATACAAAATCTTATTATGTGGATGGGTGGTATGTGGATGGGAGAGTAAATGAATGTAGTTTTATCCATTGGCATTTGGTCTCTATGGGAACAACAATGGCTGTTGCTTAGCAACCATTTAAATGCCCTGCTCATTATTGACACATCTTGTGCATTCAGATTGCACCAAGAAAAGTTGAGTGACCGGTGAAGTACACATCATTCAGCCATATTTTTATTTTTGGTACTTTTTTGAGCCTAGCTGTAATTTTAAAACCATAATTATTTCTTTCCACACTAAAAATATCAATTATGGAGTTTATTCTAGAATATTAGGAACTATATTTTAATGTTCTTCTTTTGTTGTTTCTATGTTACTGTTGCCAAGAATCTTTTAGACATGCCTTACTAAAGGTATTTTACAAAAGTGATTTTTTGGGGGGGTTTTCAGTTAATCTCATTAATCCGAGATAATTTAAGCTACTGCTAAATTTATTCATTGTTAAAAATATTAATTTTATGCTTCTTGAAACTTAAATAGGTCTTACTATTCAATATTTAACCATACCTTGGTAAATCATCAACTTGAACAGCTTCGAAAATTGCTACTTTACCAGTTAGATTTTTTGTACACATACCGTACCGAATTACCATTATATTGTATGTGCATAAAATGTAACTTATATGAACAAAATTTTACTAACATTAATTTTAACAAGTGGTTTGCCTATTTGAGGTAGATGACAAAGAGGAAAAGATTGCAGAGCAAAAATTGAAGATTTTACAGGCCTATTTGTAGAAATAAAAACATCCCATGTTAATTAAGACGTCCACAGTAAAGCTTTGGATAGCTTGGTACACATTATTTATGCCATTTATGGTCTTCATATTCATTCTTTATCAATCATGAAAATAAAACTTATAGGCACTGGTAACAGATATCTTATACCCTTCAGTTTTTAATATTAAATGTCTTAATCCGATTAAAATACAATACCTAATGTCGTGGTATTTTAACATTGGCTTAATAGGTCTAATATGTTTTGTATTGAACATTATTATCTAATTTCATGTTTGATATAGTTTGTTGGGTAAAATTTTGAAGAGGGGGCTTAATACAATGTGATGATTGATGTTACAATAAACAAGTTCTGTACTTATGTTTTGTTAATAATTTTATTGATAACCTTAATAAAATTTTTGCTGCTGTGATCAGCAATAAAACTGATTATTTTTATAGTACCAATAGACTTTTCTTATACTACTCTAAAATTTAAAGCCTATTTTTATGTATTTCATGTTTTGTATTGTGCAGTATGCTGATATGGATTAAATGTTTTTATTTTATTTCAGGATAGATTTTACATTTTGTGCTTTTGTTTGGTTAACGTACCTATAATCTGTTCACAATCAGATAGTTTTATTTGGCCTCGGTCCAGTGTTTTAAAGATAGATAAATAGCTAAAACCATTGACTATTGGGGAAAAGACCTGTATAAACCGGAAGGAACCTAACTTTAAAATAGTCTTCAGCTGATCCAATGATCATAAATCTATATAAGACAGTTGGTTTAATGTTTATTTTTACCAAAGAAGATAAATAATGAGTTTGTTTTTTAACTAAATATAAACGTCTGATTGAATTAAATTCATGAACTTTAATCCCAAATTTCATAAAAATAATTGTACGGTATTTAATACACTTGTCAAATAAAATTTAAGTTCTACAGTCTAGCCTCCTCAAGTGAACTCTTAGCTGCAGTTCAAGATGATGTCGGTAGTAACGTTTGAGAAGCCCATATCCAAAGTAGCGCTGCCGGATTGGCACGGCAAGGTAGCAGAGCTACGACAGACTTGCGACTCTCGGAGAGCCGATGCGTTCAGTCTTTGGAATGAAGCTAGACAGCTGCGGAATGAAACCAACTGCAAAACTCAGTGGGACACGTATCACAACAACGTTCGACTGGCTGATCGGTAAGTTGGGAGTAAGATAAGCAGATAGGGAAATACCTAGATAGGATTTTGAGTGTCATTCAAGAATAAGATACCTAAAGATTGTATTTATGAATACAAAAAAACGATGTAGCCAGCTAGCCTTGGCTGGTGAGATTTAAATTTGTTTCATTTTCAGATATTAATAGAGAGTAAATACCACACTGGATTCAAGTTTGCAAAAAAATGTTGGTAAAATACTCAGTAGCTTGAGATTATTTGTTGGGGGAGTCCTTTATTTTCAGGTCCGTCTAGCCTATGTGGACAAATAAAATACAGGATTTAAAAACACCGCCAATCCTCTTAAAAATAGTGTTCCTGTCAACTATTTTGCAACATTTATTCACAATTTTACAAAATCACAAAGGGTGAATGGTACTGGAACCTATGTGCATATATATATATAAAAAACTAACTACTGTGCTGAATTTATCTTTTTTACAGAATCACAGAGGTCTCTCGCTGGAGAGAACTCATTGAAAGTTGTCTCAAAGCCATTGAGAAGGAAATCGCTGAGTTGTCATCGGAGAAGGAGATTACCGAGACAGAGATAGAGAGGTTGAACTTGAACTTCACGGTTGTCAACGAGTGTCTAAGCATGCGAGACCAGAGGGGAGGAGCCGACCTGTGTAGGGACGAGGGGGAGGCGGAACTGAAACATGTGAGATAGAGGTTAAATATTACTAAATATTACCAGTGCTCGGTTTGCGGCGGAACAGCAACCCGGTACCTCCCTTATTTAAAGAAAAAAATATTTGCATAAATATAGCTACTAATCACATTAAATAGATTACAGTTTGGGCACCTCGTTTTTTACAAATCGAGCACTGCATATTAAAAACTATATTTTACCCTCACCTACAATTCTTTAGAAACACTCCCGACACCTAAGTTAACAACTGTACTTTTTGTTTAACCTTTAACTTAGCAGTGATAGAACTATAAAGACGTAGGCTACTGATTTATGTCTAAGTCAAATTGATACAACAAGTTATATTGTTATAGCATGTTATGTCACATCATCTATCTTGGTAAAAAATATGGTCTAAAATAGAATGTTAGACATTAGCACAATCTGTGACTTCAGTCACTAAAAGTTAATGGTTTAACAAAAAATTGAGTACCGTATGGCTTTGCAGTACTCTTTTATCAAGTAACAGGATAGACTAACCAACAAAAGTAGACTTCTCACCCCATTGTAAATTTTGAAGCTTATTTTTTGTGTCTAGTTTATGTCCGGGTTACACTGATCGCTAATGTCGAAGAAATTTTGTTTCTATATTTTTTAGGGTTGTTTTAATGATTTGTGGTTTACTGTATATAGCTAGGGAATGAGTTATTGTTTATGATTAGATTGTTTTGTTTTTTTTTTGTTTTTTTTATACGGGGTTTTAAATTACTGAAATAAAAAGAAACAAACTGTAAACAAAACACGACCTCTACAGTGCACCGGACATAACTAACAACAAAATTGGTTTCAGCTGTTCCATAAGGATGAGAAATCTACTAAGGGATGAGTATTATTCTTTATCCACGGTGACGGTCACTTATCTAAATAAATTAATAGGTATAAATGTATAATTTTATATAATTACTTAGATTACTTGACTTACAAAATAGCATACGCAGATGCAAAAGAAAATAACAAAAAGTTTAAATTAAATTAGTGTTAGGGCGTATTAGAATACTTGCTTCAGAAACCCTTTTCAATAAAAGTTACCAAACCTACATTACTTGAATACCATCCTTTATTGAGCAAAAGTTGTCGAATGACACAAACAAATTTAACTTAAATTGTATAAACCCTCCAAAGGTCGTTGAGTTACTTGAATGAACAGTCTAACTTTTATCCAAACCCTCGAAAAAGTTTGATCCCAAGCAAAGTTGAGCCTCGGCCCAGGCACCATTTTTCATTATAGGCAATTGATGATGCTTTATTCTAACAAAATGTTGATGTTCAGAAGTAAAAAATACAGGTTTTTATCTGTTTCCTTACAAAAAGCGTAAAACATTCAAATGGTGCCAAAACCCACAAAAAATCATGTGCTTTTTTAACCAAGCAGTTTGTGGTGACAGGAGTTGAGCACGCTGGAGTCGCTCAAGAAGATGCTGACGGACAAGGCAGCCGCAGCGTGGGAGCAGATTAACCGTCTGGAGGAGGTGAGGTTCCAGCTGCAGCAGGATCTGCTGGACAAAGACGAGGCTCTGGAGATCTGCCGCAACAGTCTCGGGCTGGACAAGAACTGCGCTAATATCAGCTACAAGCCAAACCCGCTTCGGCTGCCCAACAAGTCAGTGGCAATATTACAACTTATTTGGCGAGTCCAGTTTTTAGTCAAGTCACAAAAAAGTAAGGAACAGAGGACACACTCCATGGTACACTTAAGTGGTGTCTAGGATACAGTCCAACACCGCCTCCCCCCCTTGCTGTTGTGTACTACAAGGATGGAGGAAGAAAAGATCCTATGTGATAGACATTTTTCGAACAGTGCCGGCAGTTTGGGCTCTCCCTTGCTCGTTACAATTATATTTTTGGCACAAAATTCCAGAGCTGAGAGCGCACATTGTCCCATAGTGTGTTTACTCTGTACATTACTTCTCTGTGGTCAAGTTGAGTAAAATGTATTCAATTTTACTTCAACAGTTATCTACTCACTAGTGGCGCGGTTGACTCTTAGTGGAAACTTGGGGTATTATTCCTACTTGATTTTGTATTGTATGGTATTCAGCGCTGTTAACCAGTAGTGGAAACTCTGAAACTATAATAACAAATATTCAATACAAAAACTTGAACACTTGACGTTTTTAATTGCAGCGCAAGGCATAGTGTGACCACAAATTCAAAAACTAACGACCAATTGCAGAACTTGAGTATCGTTGTTATAAATAATAATAAGTATAAAATCAACTCGATACCCCGCTTGTCTCAATACCTAACGTACCGAGTAAAGTACTCAACTTGTCACTTTATTGCAGCTAAATGTGTCTAGCCTGAAATAACAGAAGACTGACTAAAGCCATGTTATCATATCTTTCTATCCAGTAACAGAGGGAACGGTAAGACAAGAGAAGGTAAGAGGCAAGCTGTGGTAAAAACATTTCTCTTATTTCTGAGGCTCGCCTGAACTGATTGGTAGACAAAACCTTGAATATGAACAGAATTATGAAAAATGTGAGAATATTTACTTGTACCAAATGAAAAACTTGCTTATTACCGATTACATTTCATTCGGAACTACTCTACTTATTATAGCATTGCTCACTTATTTTATTTGGAACCCTGCAAAAGCAGTATTTGTAATATTCTTTTTAAAACACCTTCAGATCCAGGTGTGCTAATTAACAATAAACGTTTAGGTAGTATATCGTATAGTTTTTAAAGATAAAGATTGCTATTAAAGCAAGATAAGTGTTTTCTAAACATAGCCTAGAAAAAACCAAACAATCAATTTTTTTCACGCTTTATGAATTTTTCTCAGACTGATATCTTACGAGTCCTGGCTCGAGCACTGTAAGTACCTCAAGTTGAGGGCAGACAATGAGTTGGCTGCGGCTCAAAAGCTGAGAGAATCCATGTACGTCCCAAGAGAGAGAGCCCAGAACGACATGAAAGCCCAGAACGATGCGACAAACTTCGCCTTGAGGAAAAGAATCTACGAGACTCAACGTATCAAGAACGAACTGGACTGGCAGAGATTCAACGTAAGATGGCCAGCTTTAGTTATATAATATAGCCACTTTGATGTGTGAATCTATCTGTCTAATCCAACCATAAAGATCCAATGCTATTATTAATTTTATTAGATTATCTTCGTTGTTGTAGTCTGAAGATCTTGATGTTATGTCACCTTTATGCATTTTGTCAGTTTGTGTGGCATTTTCAGGGGTCTTCTTATCACTAACACTATATGTCTATACTGTATTTACACACGCACACAGTCACTAGTATATTGTGGTAGAGTCTATCGGAAAATGTGACTTTGGACACGTGGTGGATTGGACATTCCTGGTTTACGATGTGTTTGATCTCTGTACCGTTGACAGTTTGTCGCTGTCTTTCTAGTTTTAGTTTCAATGTTGTATACAAAAATTGTAGAGCTGTTGTTGTCTTCTTTTTTGTTTAGGAGGGTGCTCAATCTAAGCTATTACTGATTCATGGTTTCCTGTCGATAGATACTACCATATATGGACAGACTGATGAAGGAAATTGACAACCTGGAGCAGGCTTTGTTGGACAAGACAAACGCGTTGAAGCTTGCAGAGACGAGGTGTGAGAACCGGTTGTACCGGCCTGGCGCAGAGCTGTGCCGGGACGAGCCTATGCTGGGTCTGCATGATGAGGTGTGTCAACTGCGCAAAACCCAGCAGGACCTTCAGAACAAAATTGATGCGGCCAAGTGAGTTATATGTTCCCCATACAAAAAATGTATACTCTTGACAAAATTAGAAAAATTTCCCAATTTTGTTAATTTAAAAATTTGAGAATAAAACATGTCAAAAAAAACATTAAATTACATGTCCGATTGCTTACAAAAAGGTTTTCTCCAAATTAAATTAAGTTGGAGAAAATTGTGACTGTGCAAACAAATCAAATATACAATGTTTTAAGCAGCCCTAGTCAATATTAGTCGAGTTTATCAACTTAACTAGAAATGTTAATCTTTGTTAGACTTTTTATCACTTTTTACCAAACATGTTTGATGAAATCTTATTTTTTAGGAGTTTGCATGAACTTTCGATAAAATTCCTTGGCAGGAATATGTTTCATTGAATTAAATTTATACATACTTTTTAATCTACTTCATTGAGTATTTAGTTATGGCAAAACATTTACAAACCTGAATTACAGGGCAACCTACAACATGTTGGAAGATCAATTGATGGTGATTGACAGAGAGTTGTACAACAAAAACCAAGCATTAACAACAGATCTGAGATGTTTGGACCTCAGAGCTAGATTGTCAACCGGAGGAAGAGCAGAACCTTCTACCCAAACTGATCGGAACATCGTTCTGACAAGAATGCAAGACGAAATACCACCAGAACCTTAGCTCAACTGTAACCATTCAATCTCACCTGGAAGCACTTCAAAATTTAACACTTGAGTAATCACTTAAAATGTTAATCTCCTTCAACTTTCTCCATCACAAGATAAAAATTGTAATGGTTGCCTTTGTCTCTAGTGATTTGTACTTTTGAAATAAAAATGTGGTGTGTGTGTGACTCGTTTGAGTTTGGATTTTTACCTTATCATTGAACCCCAATAATTCCAAATATATTTACAAATTTGTCATAAAAGTGATGTTGAGGGAGTACAGACGAGCAAATTCTCAAACAATTCAACACAAGGAATTCATTTAATCTCCTCAAGTTTCTAGATACGTTTTACACTGATCACAACAGTACTGTAATTTTTGCAAAGGAGATAATAGAGGACTCATTGTTGGATCTGATAACTGTTGAAGGACTTTTTGTTGTGCAATGTGGCAACCTTGTACATCAGCTGTTGGCTTTAGTTAGCCATGGACAGCTGGGCAGGTAAGGTAGCTGTAGTGACAGGAGCTAGCTCTGGTATAGGGGCAGCCATTGCCAGGACTCTGGTCCACCATGGACTCAAAGTTGTGGGTCTGGCTAGAAGAGTGGACAAGGTTCAGGTACGGAAACGATTTAATTAATTTTTAGTTTTATTTGTCTCATTAATTTGCAGTTTTTAAACAATAATTTAACTTGAAACTACTCCAAGGTCAAGCTTGTAAGTACAAGCTTTGTCACTGGATGAATAACTGACTTTGATGTATTTAGAAAGTAATATTCTTATTTTAAGATAATTTTCTGCATTTTTGTTATTGCATTATTGTTTGGAGTTTTTTAGAAGAATCATACAAACACAGATAAGCTTCAGATAGCCCTTGAATGTCAACTTCTTTATTGGCCAGTGATTAACTAATTTGAAGTGATTACCTCAAGGGCAACTGACCAAAAGTGGGTTGAATGCCTTCCGAAAGTCTTAAATATTCTTTGATAATGTTGATTTTAAAACAACGTGTTTGTATTAAAGAATCATAATTAACCAAAAACTGCATTTAGGAAAATCCCCATTTATCAATGTAAACGCCTATTAATGTAATCCATTATGAATCAACAATCTAGAACGGCTTTGAAATGTCATATAAACTAAGTATAACCATTGACTATACACAGATTAATATTTTTGTATAGTACGGTATCTCTAATTTTGTATTTCCTCTCTCTAACTTGGATTTAAGTAATCATATCATTGTCACCATAAATATTTGATATCACTATTGAACTGTCTAATTGATTTTTGCAATACAATTTCTTGAAGCTTACTGTGATGTACTTTTCAGAGTTTTATAACCACTTAAAAGTTCTTTAAAAAATGTTTTGTTTGGGACCCGTTAATTATTATCTTCATCTTTTATACCCTTCCACATCTCCTTTTGCCAAACTTTTTTTAAATCTTTTACACATTTTGCAAAAGTACGCTCAATACAAGATAAAAAAAAATTAAAGAACACATATTATCTTTTGAACTCAACCCCGTGAATATTGACAAAACTTTGTTCAAATATACACAGTGTCGTAGCCAGGTTTGAAGCACCCTGGAGCAGAAATGGCTTAAGCCCTCTCTTCTCTCCCAATATTGAGCATAACCCAACTTACACATAAATTACCTTTTTATCAGGCTGCGGCCACACGAGCGTTTTTTCACGCACAAGAGCAGCGTGAAAACACACAAAAAATATGAGAAGCATTAAATGTAATTTTCCCGCAGTGGCGCCTATTCGTTTCAATGCTATTCTAATTTTTCGCGTGTTTTCATATTGCGTTTGTGCGTGAAAAAATTGCCCATGAGGCTCTAGCCTTATACAGCTGCACACGTGTGCATAGTAGTAGTATGTGTAGTATTAGCATTTTTAAACTCAACTAATGTCAAACAGTTTTATTACTTTTTACGTGTGCAATATGAGGAATACTTTGTTCTGTTCTGTAATAATATATCTTTGGCACCTTCTTCAGCGACTAATTCATCAATTTATATATTCTGAAAATTATTTGTCATTTATCATGAAATAAAAGTGTTGATTGACATAATTTGTTTTAAAATACATAATAACCCTGAAAGATTATGGAAAATCATTAAAAATATAACAGTATGCCACAAGAAAAGATAATCTTAGCGAACAGGAACAAATACCGATGTGGTGATACAAAATTAACAACGCAAATACAATAAATCTGAGACCAACATAAATACCTCAAATAACAATCCGACTAATAAAACATCCAATCAACTTGTAGCAACTGGCTGAAGAGCTGTCCACCTCTGGAGAACCAGGACAGCTGTACGCTCGGCAAGTAGACCTCAGGAGTGAAGATGCGATCTTGGAGGCGTTTGCTTGGGTTGAATCTCTAGGGGGGGCTGACATCCTTGTCAACAATGCTGGCATCTTCTACGAGAGTAGCATGTCAGGTTGGCAGCATCTTTATCAAATAATGAAATAATTATAATAAATTATTGTAAAATTATTGTCAAACAGGTACTAAATGCTAAAACTACTGTAATACAGTATATTTTGTAATGCTTAATGCATTTAATACGTTATTTTAAATTTTTTGCAACTTAAAGTGTAGGCCTAAGCAAGATAATATTTAAAAACCACAAAAGATGTATTTAATTATATATCATTTAATACATCCTTTGTAATCTACAGATTAGACAAATAATTGCGGTATTATTTAGTGAGTTACATAACATGTGAGTGAGTTGCGTACAACTCACTAACCTGGTGATTATGGCACAGTGCTAATTCTTATTGTAATGTCCAGGTGTTCATTATACAAACCTGAGCTCCATTCCACGCTCATGGTGCAGTATGAAGTATCCGTAAGCCATGTACAGTATTTCAAATGGCAGACTCAGGGACTCAATAGTCCTAAAAAGATCAGCATAACAGTGCTTCACTTTTCACTTTTTTCTTTAATTTTTAGGTACTAATAGCAGTTACCCGGCATGCGTTGCTGCGCTAACAACTATTATTTTAAATGGTATTTTTTTCTTTACGATAAATAATAAAAATATACCAAAAACAAAAATAGAATATTTATTTTACTTAATTGCTGTGGATAAAAAAAGTTTTTTTTGTTTTTTCATTAGGTGTATAAGTATACTGTATAAGTTTTTAGGCGTACCTACCACCACGTGAGCACGCAACATACAGCGTGTGAAAAATATGTATTTTCTAAATTTTAACCGGCGATAGTCAGGGATTGTCCTTGTGTCTTACATAAAACGTATCAATTATCAATCATTGAGATGGGGACGCCACCTAGGTGCGTATTTTAACCCAAATATGAGTGAAGGATGAGTGTAGAATGGTGTGTGATGACCTGTGTAGCTTTGTTACTGACTAAGATCAGCGTTTCCATTAGTCAGGATCATTTATTCAAAGCCCAATGATCAGGAACAGCTGGGTCCAGTTTCGAACCATCAAAAAACTACCGGTATTGACTTTTCTCAGGATCGAAGCGGCGACCTTTTGATTACCAGGCGAGCACTATAACCACTCAGCTACCCAGCCAACTAAAAAAACGTAAAAACCTTTATCTAAGTAATAACTTATATATTTATGCACCTAATATAAAGATATAGATTGTAAATAACAAATTACCATTTAAAATAATAGTTGTTAGCGCAGCAACATGCGGCGGGTAACTGCTAGTTATATTTATTTGTAAACATTATAGTTCGAAAAGTCTGACATTGGAGCCCTTAAAACCCTCTGGGGCGAAGCCCTTTTAACAGATATGCACCAAAATTCACACAACCCATCCTTGTATAATGCGTAATAATTTCTGAAAGTTTGATTACAATCTGTCGAGCGGTTTTGGAGTCCATAGGGTATATACATATACTGTTGGATTGGGAAATGTAAAAAAATTTAAATTATCAAGAAAGAAGTCTTCAACACATACATACATACATACTTCTTCTTTTATAGATAGAGACGATTTTTCTAATTTTAACCATACAAAGTCAAAGTATAAATTATCAAGACATATACACTAGCCTCTATAGCTTACCGCTGCTACCATGTACTATATTTTTGGATTATAATTCGACCCATTATCAAACACGACTTCAAATTGAGGAGAGTTTACGTCTAAAGAAACAAATACGGTATCAATAAAAGATATAAAAACACAAATATATATAAAAACACTAAGCCAGCATTGCTTCTCAAAAACATACATAATACTGTACCTATATATTTTTAGAGGGCGAGACAGATCGGTGGCGAGCCATGTTCGATGTGAACGTTCTTGCTGTCTCATTCTGTACCCGAGAATACCTGAGGTCAATGGAGAAGAGGGGCAACCAGAGGGGACATATTTTTATGATCAACAGGTACCAGGCTTAACCAAGGTGATATGAGACCAAGGAAGTAAAAAAGTGGGATTAATGAGCTATGTAGCTTCATCTACAGATGGCACTGGTAGTCATCTAGTAACTAGGATGATTTAGAAAATGCATTAATATATTTAATTTTTAAAATTGAAACACATAATAGGGTATTATTGCCCAAACTCTACATTCCTTTTCCTGTCTCTGAAGTTAGTCAGTAACTGACAGATTGCCTGATACTTAGCTTAAAAAAGTGTAGTACTGTATGTGTGTTGTAGTATGTAAGTGTTTGAAATTAAACTGATTCTTTCAAATCAGTCACTTTGTTCAGGCCACTATGTTGTGGCAGTACAAAAATCCTAGCTTATCCTTATGGTAAACTCATACTTACGGGACGACCGTGCGCTTTCATGTCTAGTTTGTTGTGCCAAAAATATACTTGTTACAAGCAAGAACGAGTCCAAGCGGAGAGCACTGTGTCAAAACTCCTATCCCTTGGGACACAGAGTCTTCCTCCCCCGTGAGCGTTGTAGTTTGTAGTGCATGAGAGCGAGAGGGGTGGTGTTGGACTTTGCCTTAGACACCAGGGACTATTGCCTATTAATGAATGACTGATTTTAATGGAATAAATCATTCATTCATTCATTCATTACCTATTACCATATCTTCATCTTTTACCCAAAAGGTATTGATGGCGTTAAAACTTTCAAATTACACAAATTTCATACATTTAAAACAAACTCACATAAATACAAAACATACATTTAAAGCTTTGGCATGTGGAGGCGGGTCAGTAAAAAAATTTTGGCAAATTGTCATCAAAAAATTCATTTAAGGAGTAGTAGGCTCTGGACTTGAGGAGGGGGACCAGGTTCTCTAAGAAAAGCTTGCGCTCAAGCTGTTTGATAGCTAGACAACACTTAAGTGTACCATTGAGTGGTACCTTACTTCTCTGTGGTTTGCTTCAGTTTTTTTATTGTTACATAAGTGATGACATGCGTTATATGCCAGTGTTGCAGGTCATCTTACAGAATACCCAAAACTCCAAATGTACGTAGCGACCAAACACGCAGTCAAAGGCATGACCATGTGCCTACGACGTGAGCTGGCTGACAAGAAGAGCACAATCAAAGTTACTGTAAGTTTGATTTAAAACATGATGGACATTGTACTGTGTGTCCTTAAAATACTCCTTTGGCGAATCATTTAAAGTATAGTATACCAACAAGACATGAATGGCTTGATGTAAAGAGATCTCGCCCCATCGCTGACATGAACTGCTTGTAACGAACCATAGATAAGACCGGACACCATAGACTTTGAGGTACATTGGGGACCAGAAGATGCTGGCCTCAGCCTTCTAACAGGAGCACACTTGATGGAGCAGTAGTCATTGCAGTTTTGGTATGTTCCTGTGAAAACCACAGATGGATCGGACTGATCAGAGGTAGAAGGTACCGTATCTGTAGAGTGTTGACAAACAGGCAACTTTGAAGGTTCTAAATTCAAGACTTGAACTCTAAGCTCATCTATGGTTGCTTTACCTCCATGTCACAGTTGAGAAGGAGAAATCTAAACACTCTTTCAGGTGCCTGGAAACTGCTGACAGACTTTCTAATAGCCAACGACACCGTTTGGTCCCCATCCTTTTTGTGGGATTCAATGTAAGTATACCATCATGTCATGTAAGTTCCATCATGTCTTGAACCAAGGAAGACCACAGGAGTGGGACTGAAGTAATTCCATTAAACACAGTGTACTGTTTGGACACTAAGTAAATGATAAGGTCCTCTTTACAGAGATATAGTACAGAGGAAACATCCAATGGTACACCTATGTGGTGTCTAGGGAAAAGTCCAACACCGTCCCCTTGCTCTGATGTACTACAACGCGCACGATGGAGGAAGACCCTGTGTACTGTGCACAGAAAACATACTACATACTACTATAACCCAGAATGCCAACCGCATGGTAAAAAGCTGAGTGCATGGCAACGCTGGTGGCGCTGCCTACGATTGACAGGCAAAGCTCTCTCAAAACACTTAATGCTTTTTACCATGCGGTTGGCATTCTGGGTTATAGTAATATGTTTTCTGTGGTCCTGTGTGATAGGAATTTCCGCACAGTGCTTGCCGATCGGGCTCTTCCTTGCTCGTTTCAAATATATTTCTGACACAACATTAGAGCTGAAACCGCATGGTCGTACCATACGCGAGCTTCCTCTGTATCTTACTTCTCTGTGAAGAGAGCATCCTTATCATTTACTCAGTGTCCAAACAGCTTAGTTTGGACATCTAGAGGTTGGATACTCAAGCTCAAGTGTATGATTTGTGTGTATGGGTTACTTAAGTGTTGGGTCTGTCTCTTGGATACAGACGGATGATAGAATTAATCTCATGATGGTTGGCCACTGGATCGTTAAAATTAGCACTAATAAGATTTATGTTACCTGGCTTCTGTCTCCGATCCACGGTAGTTTTAAGAAACTACAGCTGTTTCGTGCCTTCTACTGGCACATCGTTTCGCAGTTGTTCCTTAATTAGTGTTTAAATGTTTTGTGCGTGTTTTCGTGTGTGTAAATGTCTACATGTACTTCGTAAAACCATGACGATCTCAACACCGAGGGATATTTTATAGAAAAGCTGGCGTTCACCAAACCTGAGGATGTGCCAGTAGAAGGCATGAAACAGCTGTAGTTTCTTAAAACTACCGTGGATCGGAGACAGAAGCCAGGTAACATAAACCTTATTAGTGCTAGAATTAATCACTGGACATGAACAGATCAGAAAGCATCAGAAGCACATCTGCATAATGGAGATCTGTTGCACAGGGAATGTGGTAGGTGTGAAGCGAGACTGCTAAAGTGTCTGCTGTTTTGCTGCTTATACAGTAGCTCAATGAGAACTACTTTATGGAGTGCTAAAAAAAAAGTCGTCTGCCTGAGGAAGAGTTGATCAGTAGATTGTAGTTATTTATCAGGTGCCTGAATATGAACAGTGTACGAGGAAAACTATACTACTTGGGGTGTGAAAAAAAAACTCTGGATGAAATGCATGTAGGGACCTTGATCGGCCTTTTTAGATTAGATGAAACAGCATTGTTGCTTGTACCGTGAATAGGATGAAGCACATGCGGTAGTGGGGCAAAGGTAGAATGCTGACATCAATAAATAGCTATATTGTTAATTTTAATTTTAGACTCAAAATAAACCTTCATGATGAGTACAATAAAAATAAACAATCAAAAACCAAACAATAAAATTTTCACTTACTAAGGTGCCCACCTTCAATTTAATTGATAAATTGTCTGAAGGTATAGTACCGTGGTAATCGTAGCTTTCAAAGACCAAATACAATGATTTTTTTCAACAAGAGCCATTTTACTGATTCTATAACTATTCTACTACCGGTATATGTATCATCTTTATCTCGATTATGCAATATTTCCAGAGCATAAGTCCTGGACCAGTGGAAACAGAAATATTCAATGGAACTCAGTGGGAAGGGCTGGAGAACAAGATCCCTATATTGAAGAGTAAGGATGTGGCCAAAGTGGTTGAAGATTCTCTCTCCGCTTCTTCTGTCGCCCAGGTTAGTTCATATCGCTATCTAAACCTCTCTAGCTTTAAAAACCCGACGAAGTAACTCTTGCCTCTCCCTACCCAGTCTCTATTTAAATATGGTTTGAGATCAAATAAAGCCAAATATAACAAAAGTAAAACCTCAACTTTTTAGCCATGTGCAAATATAAGTTTTCATGGTAAGAGAAAATAACAAACCATTTAACATTCAGTGTGAATACATCAAGTTTCTGAAGTTAAATGAAAATAAACATCTCAGAACTTCCAAGACAAGATATAATGTTTTTTTTATTGTTTTTTTTTATGGAAGGGTTGAGACCCTGTTGTTGTTATATATTAAGTCGACCTATCATCGGAAACAAAGCATCATTGATTCATAGCCTAAAAGAAATTGTGTGACTGAGTCTAAGAACGATACATCCAGGATTGGACTGGCAAACTTTGATTTTGAAGGAAGGCACTCTTCAACTACAGTTAAACATTAATTTGTTTAAAAAGTTACAGCTACCTTTGCACACTAGAATGTAGAGTTTTATACCATACAAAATCGGTAAATTACTCTTTTATTCGTGTTAGCAGATATTTTTATTCAAAAAGCTTCTGTAACTAAATTAAAAATGTTTGTGTTTCAGATTTGCGAAGTTGTGATGACTCCAATACCCACAGATTTGGGAGTTTTCTAACCTCTGGCTTGTATTATTCATCTACTGTAGAACCCTTAGAAGAATGAATGTGGAACACCTGTATAAACATTATAAAGTTCTTTTCCATCCAGGATCCAGCAATAACAGTTATCATGGTTTCGGTTCTTGGTTAAATCCTGAATATGCTAGTGAAGAAAGCAATTTGTTATAGTATATGCTTGCTTAAACTCTTTTAAGTAATAAGCCCCTTTTCAATATTATAATGAAATCATAATAAATATTACACTCTCTCATTTAATTGTAGAAGCTCTGTAGCTTTTTACTTGCTTTGAGGTACCTATGTAATAACGTTGATCAAGCATCCTAAACAGTTTAAGAGAATGTTGTAATCCTTATCAAATAATTGTATGTGACAAATTTATTGACTGGAAAACTGATCTTTATTGCGGGGTATTAATCTTATTAAAATTTGTTAAAATGTGAATTTGATATATTATTCTTTTTACTTTTGAATTTTCAACATGCATTGTTTATGTTTAAGAAGTGGGACATATCAAATGTTTTTGAGTGAATAAAATAATATTTTTCGACTCTTATAAATTACAAAATGAATAATGCTTGCCATTGACTAGTATACTGAAAAACACATCCCATTTATATGGACTAATTACAATTTACAACCAGTTCTCTAGACTCAAGAAGAATTATTTTACTTAATTACCTTTTATAATCAAATGTGTTATATTGTAGTTTATTCCCCTTTTTTAATTTTAATGTTCAAATAGTTATGCAAAAAAATATTATATACAAGAAGCCCTTTCGGGTTGGCTTGGTTAATAAGTTGGTGTGTGTGGGAAACACGGTATTTTACATTGCACATTTTGTCAATGCTGGGTCAGTTAATTTTAAATGATATTATGAATGAAATATGTTACTTCAGGTACTAAATAGGTACTACTAAATCTCTGACCGAAACATACATTTACCATCACAATTTTTTACTAATTGTGATGTAAAATGTCTGCAATAATCCTTGAAAAAACATAAAAAACTCACCTTCGCCAAAAACTAACTTCAAACAAGCTATTTTTACAAACAAAAAATTATTTTTTTTTAACAGGCCAAACAATTTTTATAGAACCGTACCGGGTACCATTAACATTAAATTTTAGACAAAACATATCACGTGTGTTTTTCCTTGGTATAACAATTTATTCATATACAGTAGTGTTATATCAAACAACCTTGTTTCTGACATCAAACAGCAAGTCTGATGAAATACAAACAAATTTTGGCACGAGACTTTATTTTCAGTCGGCCTCGAAATGTTTTCTGATCGTAGTGATTACATGTATAAATAAAGTAATAAAATATTAACCACCGCATTCCAAGCTAAATATAAGTCTGGTTTAATAATCCTATGCAGTATTTGTTTACTTCAAGTTAATTGAAGCATTCAGCTGATTGATTTTAGTGATAAGAAACAATGTATCTTTGGTCATTTAAGAAAGAACCGCTCCTAACTTTTATAGGATGTTTCATGTCTTCATATGAGCTTTGAAAAATGTAGTGGTGATTTCTAAGGACAGTTTAAGCTCTTGTTGTTTATCCCTTAATATAAGTTTGACTTAGATAAATTATAAATGTTCCCTAAAACATTCCAATGCATGGATACTTAGTTTGACATAAGTACTGCATGGAAACAGATTTGACAAAAAATCTATAAATCAGTACCTACCTAAGTTATCTGTCTTAAATCACATAATATATATTGTGGTAATAACAAAGAACCAAGAATACTTAAATTTTTCACTGGAACTTTAAAAAACACTGGTAGATAACTTTAAAACCTGTATAAACCCTTTTTTCTTAAATCGAGAACACGGAATTATAGTTTATTTGAAGTTACAATCTCTTTCTCTCTGTAATGAATTCCACAACTCAATGCAAAGAAAACCATTGATTATGGTTTGCTTAATTCAATGAGGTACGAACTATGAAAACATGTAAAAATTGAATTTAGAACAGAACTTAAACATAATATAGTTCCAACAAAAACGCTATGGGAATGTATTTAATTTTTTTAGGACCATTGCAGATAGCGCAAAAAAGCTTTTCAGATAAGTAACAAACCTAAAAATCTATTTTTTATACAAATAGATTAGGAATACACGTTTTCCGTCATGCTGGGGACAGTCCAAGCAAGACTCCTCTTGCATACTGTTGTAAGGAAAATCTTAAATGAGAGCATAGACCGATGGTGGCGTATCACATAGGTACAAAATTATTAACCATACAACCATACTTAAATTAAAAGGTCTCTATTGGGAAAAAAAACACAGTGCCACAAACCCTATAGCAAAAGGTTCAACCTAGACAAAATGCTGATCCGCTTTAAATTGTTTTTTTTTTGTAGCAAATTCAGTATGTCAAGCTTGAGAGTATGATATAGAGGTAACCCAAAATGAGACAGGCACAAGGCAATATGCGCTATAGGAGACTACCAGTGTACTATGTAGTTGTAGTAGCTTTAGCTATATATTAAATCTAGCATGTATATAATATACTAGCTGTACCCGCGGGCTTTGCCCCGTTTAACTTCTTAATTTTCAAGATGAGCTCGTTCGCATGGCTTGATCACGTCCTGGTTGAAGTTCGTTCGCTACGCTCACTCACCTTTAGGTTGGAGCTCGTTCGCTGCGCTCACTTGCCTCCAGGTTGAAGTTCGTTCGCTATGCTCACTCACCTTTTGGTTGCAAATTAGCTGTTGTCATAAATGTAAAAGAAATAATAGTGCTGCACCCTGTTGGTAATCCTTGTAACTTTAATGCTATTGAACATCAAAGAACAGAACCAACTTGTTTATTTGAAACAGCTGTTAAGATTCTTTAATTCCATTTAAATATGAGTACTCATAAGGTTAACATGAGAAAATCCAGAGCCACTTGGGCGGAGCCCGAAAGCTCGATCAGAATAAAAACTACTTAGTTTTCCTATTTAATGCCCAAAGAATCGGTGTACCGAATTTCAGCCTTCTAGGTAAATGGGAAGTGGGAGAATTAGTGATGAGTGAGTGAGTGAGTGAGTCAGTGAGGGCTTTGCCTTTTATATATATAGATTAAATCTAGTTAACCAATAAATGGTTTCTACTTTACAAAGGAGCCTCTACATTTCTGATTTGTAATACTAAATGAGGTGAACATAATACAGTAACACGAAAAATCATGAAATTAATCTTCTACTGTCTGATAACATTTATTTTTCAAACGTGTTCCCATTTATTCTTATTTGACTATAAAACATTATCCATAATGTTTAAATGTTTGTAAACGCCTATTTACAGGACTAGTAAGTGACATAAGTGTGACCATAGACAGTATACTAATAATGAGAATAAAGCACTATTTTGTTTGTTGTTAGTGGTGTATTTCACTTATGAATATTTATATTCGATATTCCCTTTCCCGATGAATCAATATTACATTAATATGACATTAAACACATACGAAATATGATGGAGGTTTGTGATATAATGTTCCTATAATTCAAATATCAATTAATTGCACGATACATCCATATTCTAAACACAGGTTTCTATCGCAAACTGGGTCCCGTACCGTGCTGCTCCTACAGCCAGCGGAGAACCCAAGAACTACCAACCACACTAGCGCTCCCGTTTAGCGGCTGCAAATAGTGGTACTAGCATGAACTGCTCCACTAGCGCTCTCGTTTAGCAGCAGCAAGTAGTGGTACTATCAGGAACTGCTACACTAGCTCTCTCGTTTAATGGCGGCAAGTAGTCGCACTACCAAGAACTGCTAAACTAGCGCTCTCGTTTAGCAGCTGCAAATAGAGGTACTATCAGACAACAGCAGCAACTGAGCATTGGCCAGACATAGATAACCCCTATTATATGCCGAACATTAACTAAATTAATAGTTATTGTTAATGGTAAGCGGTTTGAACGCGTCTGGCGCCTAGATAACCTCCAACTACTGACTTGCACATATCTAACGGCGCCTGTTTTATTTACTTCAGGAATTCCACACTATTTATTTTGTCCTTTAGATAACGGTCTAGTAGGCTAGACTAGGTGATAAGATGTCTCGTACAGTAATGTAATTACCCGTTATGATGTTTCGACAAATTTATCACTTAACTTACACGTTTGCAACTTAGTTAACGATTAATTTAACTCTTAAATAAGTAGGTACAAATTCATGCGGAAAATTAGGTAGGCTTACCAATAATCATTTACCAAACGAGTAAAGCTTATAAAAAATTAGTTAAAAAATATATACTTAATTTAGAAAAAAAAATGTATTCAAGCAGAAAATTTAATCAACTTGGAGGGCTCCTGACTTTATCATTTATTATTCCTAAGCACAATTCTACAAGAAAATGCACAGATCTCTAATTGGTATTACGAGTGGAATATTTAATATTGGCTAATTTGCAACATCAAAGTTTGTTTTCAAAAAGGATTTTTATTTCGTATAATATAAGAAATAAAAATCCTTCTAACATAACGTAATCTAACGTAACCTTATAACGCTGTGTGGCCTGGAATGTATTAAATGTTGTTTTTGTGTATTGAATTTGTGTTAAGTATATGACCGAGATGCAAAAATTTAATTTATAAAAACTATAGGCCCTAATTTTCAAACTCAGATATGCAAGTATATATTAGATATGTAGTTAGTCGATACATGTAGTTAATTTTAATTTTCGATCTAATTCATCCCACCAAGAATAATTACGTATAAAAATAACTTGTTCGTTTACAAGAATACAAAAAAAAATTGAATCCTTTATTTTGTTACAAGAAAGGTACATGTTATGATAACTAACATTTGTCATGTCATGAAGATTTAAATGAAAATAATACAGTAGAGTAGTTGGTTACAACAACGGAAATTTGAAACACGTCTTTATGCAACCAGAACCAAACTTAGTTATTTTTTTGCACACGGCAGAAATAATTTAAACAACTCCTTTCAAATGTCAAGTCCTGTATTATTTTACAACAGAGTTCCAATCACATATTCACAAAATGTATGAATTTAATTCGAAAGCTAATGCAGTAATTATTATTTATGCACATTTGACACTCCACACTAAAATCCAAACTAGAACTTAAAACAAACTTATGTTTATTATAACTTGAACGTAAATAAGACGTGTACAAATAAATCATTTACAAGTCAACTATAAGTGTGCATTACATTACTAAACAAATTAAATACACAAAGATACTGCACAGTGAACTGTTAAACATAAAGGCGTTGACTATTGAATTACACTTTCCAAAGTAATAGGCAAACAAATTATTGACTGCTTAACTAGCAATCGATATTTAACTAGCATGAATAAAAATGTAAAATTGATTTCAAAGGTTCTAAACATTAAACAATTAGGCTATAAAATCATTTAGGACTAAAAAAATCAAAACTACATACATTCTTCACTTTCTTTGGATTTGGAATAACACGTTTTTGAAAGTTGAACGATAAAAATCAAACTCGAAATTCGGTGTAGTGTTCTTTTAACACACACGTTATTTTAAACATGTTTAATTATTTTTTTAATGGTCAATAAGAGTAATATATTTACTGAAACCATAAATAGATAATTTTCATATAAATTGCAATTACGATTTTCCAGACGAGTAAGGACTCATATATGGGCTATATAACATATAAAACACTAAACAACCATTATTATACTAATTAAAATAAAATAACAGCTATCGGTACTGATTGTATAACACCAATAACTTTTAAATATGCTATACCACAAACTTAAGTTGAAACTTTGCAATAAATATTTATAAAACTAACTAGGGCCTAGTCTAATGAATAAAGGTAATTCAAGGAACTAAAATTGCCGTAGACGTGTTGTAGAAACGAAGACGTGAAGTTCTTGAAGAACTGATAACAAAATTAGCTTTCATTATGATCTCAGATTTTAAATAACTCTGGAAGATCACAATGAAAACCAGTTCTGCGTTTCAAGAGAAGGCTCGCCGAGGCAGTTGTACACTCATGGGAGGAAGTCCTGCTTCGGAATCTGGACATCATATCTTGCGGCCTCAGTTTAGTATAGCATAACTTATCTAAACTATGACTCTTATTTTTAGATATATTAAAATGTAATACAGCGTTAGAAGCACCTAAATATTTTAATTGTTCACAGGTACTTACGTACTTATACCCTAACTCAATTAAAATTTCACTTAGGAACTTAAGATTTTGGTATTATAAACCATGGAGTATTGGAATAACCCAAAGTAGTAATAAAATAGCTTATTCCCTATATGGGAAATTCGCTAAAAGAAACTACAGGTAAAAAGGACACACTAAGAGGTTATGTTTGCCAGAAACATAATTATTCCATGATTATCATAATGGCAAGGAACAATTCCTGGTTTTCACGAACCTTTATTTGTAACCCACTTTTTGTAGTCAACAAGTGGTTTTAATTTTGTTCCTCACGTTATATAGCATTACGTACTGAATGATGGTGTATTTCTTTTGGCTTATAATATAGCTTTATACTAACACTATAACATGCCGCAATATAGTTAAAATCTAAAAAATAAATTGCTTAAAAAACTTGCTTAACTATACTTTTACCGTTACATAATTTCGATCAGTAACCTTGGACATTTAAATTGCTTAATTCAAAACATACGCAAAAACTTTGTTTTAAACTCTTGATTCTGTGAGGCAAGCTGACAACGGGGGTATCA